TAGGCATTAGCCTATTATATTTAAACAGTAGTTAAAGAAGCTAAACTAGCAGTTATGTAAGCAAAACAACTTGTTAAGGTATTACATGTACTACATTAATCTTTGCAGCGATAGAGAGGCAGAGGCAGAGGCAGCGCTAGAGCTCCCTAGCACTCTAAGAAATTCCTGCAGAGGCAACAAACTACACAAGCTGCAGCTCTACAACTAGAGCTTTAATGCTAAAACAATTAAATTAAAAATATTAGGTAGCAGTATTAGGCATAGCGTAGCAGTATTAGGCAGTGAAAGGAACAGGCGCAACATGTAACAAAGTAGGCACAGTTAACTACGTGGCCTTCTCTTGCTTATAGAGGTTTAGGCTAGACTAGAGACAACTGCTAGTGCTAGTGCTAGCTCTAGCATTATCTATATATATATTATACTATGCAAGAATACTTAGCTTAAGTATTCCTGTGCGTACCTTTTAGTATAGTAGGGAAAGTTGCATAGTATTAGCTTAGCAGGCAGGGCGTCTACCTTATTACACAACGCTAGAGACCGCAAGGTGCAAAGGGGAGAATGTAAGAGGTATTAAGCAGAAAAAACAGGTTACAGAGAGGGAATGTAGGATAGGGGGGTAACAAGAAAAAGTAAACTTTAGAGTTAAAGGCAGAGGTACAGAGGCTAAGAAGCCTATATACCCTGTGCTAAGCCTTTAGGGTACTTAGGGGTTAGATAGCTGTAACATAACTATAATAAAGGAAGACTATTGTAAGGGCAGGAACGTGTTAAGAGTAAAAGCTAGCTATTATTTACTTTTTTAGCTATATTAGTGTGTTAAGGATTAGCATTAGCTATATTAGTGTGTTAGTAATTATGTAAAGCTATGTAAGGCACTAGAGACATAAGAAACTACATTAAATGTATTACTAGAGAAGTCCTTTACAGGAGTTTATATATATGCAAAATAATTAGGTGGGTCTTAGCAACAGACTATGCTAAGATGTATACAACTATAGTGCTAACATATCTAACTATTATGTAACAACACATCTAACTATTGTGCAACTATAGTAACAACACATCTAAGTGTCACTACTGTAAACAGATTAGTTACATGCTATAGTTAAATGTTATTATTATATATTTATTACCTATCTAATACTACTTTGCTAAGCATTATGCTGTAACTATTCTTTAACCTAGACAACTTACTTTAATACGCTAACTATTACTATTGCGTAAGAAGAGCACAGGGACCTACTGTCGCGCACATAGGCCTAGTGTCGCGCCTGTGTTTTAGACAAGCAGCCTAAGACACTTAGCGCCTAAGCTCTCTATAAGCCTCTTATAGTTAATAGACTTGCTTCTTATTACTCTCTAATTAGTAGCTGCAACAATTACTCTAAGCAAGCTTTGCTTTTACAGATTATTTATAAACTGTTGTAGTATTTTAATAACTACTCTAGTAAATATTTAGCCTATTATAAACTTTATCTTATTAAAGTTGTATGTGTTGTTATTTTAGATGCTATACTTAGCTTTAATATTCTTTATAAAGTTAAACTAGCTTTAAATTACTATAAAAATTTTATAAAAAGCTTTTTTATAGTTATACTTATACTTAAACTTTACTTTAAGCTTTAAGTAGCGCTTAATAAATATATTAGGCTAGTTTATGCTAATATAGCCTATATTATACTTAGTGTGTAAAAAATTAGCTATATTAGCTACAGCTGCTAGCTAGGAGGGAAATCCTTGCACATCTAGCTTAAGTATGTGCTAAATAATTACCTACTTTTTATTATTATCTAGCTTTTATAAGTTAGCTATATAATTAGCTTAGAAAGGTTATCTAGCGTGTTAGTTACTTATTATTTTTTAAAAAACTTTATAGATAGCTATAGTGTGTTACTTAAAAAGTGTTACATTTTATTTAAAAGCTTAAAGCATAAGCTACATTTAATGTTTCTTTAACATGTCTAAGTAGTGTAGTAGGGTCTTAGCAAAAGTAAGCAACTTAGGTGTGTAAGCAACTCGCCTGTGAAGTACGTTATATAACTTTCCCTACTATACTAAAAGGTACACATAAGAATACTTAAGCTAAGTATTCTTGCATAGTACAATATATATATAGATAATGCTAGGGCTAGCACTAGCACTAGCGGTTGTCTCTAGCCTGAACCTCTACAAGCGAGAGAGGGCCACGTGGTTGACCGTGCCTACCTTGTTACAGGCAGAGAGTAAGACTATATTCCTCCTAGTAATTGCTAATTGCTAAGTTCTAGCAGTGTTCGCTAGCAACTGCTGTGATTAGTTGCCTAGCCTTGTGATTGCACTATACCCTTCCGGGTTATCACGTGACTTCTATTGGCCGTGCCCTTGTTGAGTCGGCCCATCCTTCTTCCATGGGGTTGGAGGCGTAGGGTATTACCGGAGCCAACTAGTGGTTGTAACAATAACGTATTTTACAAGCAAGTAGTCTACGCAAGTAAACAGCCTACTCCTAAGTTACGGGGTACGATATCAAGTAATTCATGAAGCCCTCTCCATCTCCAACCTCAGCGATACCTCTGCACAGCGCACCTCCACCCTTCATCTGCCTCGTAGCACAATCCAGCCCGCAGCTCACGGTCACACCCACATGATGTCCACTCTCAACAATCAGTTTCAACCCGCTCCAGCGTAACGCCGACCTCCTTACCTCCTTCCTACATCCAGAATTCTCACATCTACATCATCTGGATGAGGTTGAACGCGGAGCTGACCAGCACGAACGATGTGATGACCGTTGTGACGGCCGCGACGGTCTCCAAAAGTAATCGCTGAGAGCCAATCGCTTTATTCCCCTTATCCCTGTCAAACGCCGCATCCACGCATCACTAGCAGAGGCGGTTTTGATTGGGCAGACAGTTTGAAGGGTCTGTCAGGAACAGGCGAAATTACAGGGTCAGAAACCGCCATATGCATTAGACGCCGCTATGAAGTCCGTTCCCGAAGGGCCACCTACCGATCATTATAGCCATCATCAATCGTCAACGAACGGGCAAGGCAGCAAATTCTGTCGTTATGTGTGAAAATTCCAATAGCGCTTGCTAGCAATGTAACTTGCGAAAACTCTCGCACCCCACCCTACCTAACTGCTTATTACACAGTGTTTGACAGGGATTCAGTCTACGACAAAAGTCCGCGTCCGACGCCCTGTGTTCCAGCCTCATTGGCTTCAAGGTTTCATCGCCTACCACATTGGTGCGAAGTCTTTATGCTTTGAGAATGGTTGTCTGGTAACATCATTTGGCGTTTGCCGTGTGCCTTTCTTCACGTTCCGCCCCACCCCACCGTACATAACCTGACGACATCCATTGGTTCCTCCGATGGCGCCTTGTGTGATGGACCTGTCCTCCGGGACCGTGGCGTCCTTGGCGAGATATGAGGATCTGTCGCGGAGCAAATCCATGGCTTGTCGGTGGTGGTCGTAGTTGTATGAGCAGGCGCTCATCGATAGTGGATATCAATAGTATATCTACGGCGACATTTGTATGGCTGATTCAGCGGCTTAGCGAGATTTTCGCTGGCAGGGGGGGCCGTGCGCTCATCAACTTCCAGTATCCACCCATGTCCATTGCCCACCCTCCATGGGCGATATCTACGCCGCCACATGTGCAAATAGCCTGATTTTTGGTCTTATAATAGCTGCCAGGCTGCTCTAGCTTTAAAGCGCTGCAGAGCTGCATTATAATTGCTATTACGTTGCTGGGAACGCACTGTATGGCTGCTAGGTACCTCTTTATAAATGTCACAGTGTGACAGAAGTATACTGTGCTTGCACAGTATTCTAATAATGCAGCAAATTGCAGAACAATGTATTAAATTACAACAAAAAGCAGCAAATTATAGAATAATGTAGTAAATTATAATAAGACGCAGCAAATTGCAGAATAATGCAGTAAATTGCAACAAAACGCAGCAAATTGCAGAATAATGCAGCAAATTGCAACAAGACGCAGCATATTGCAGAATAATGCAGCAAATTGCAACAAGACGCAGCAAATTGCAGAATAATGCAGTAAATTGCAACAAAACGCAGCAAATTGCAGAACAATGCAGCAAATTGCAACAAGACGCAGCATATTGCAGAATAATGCAGCAAATTGCAACAAGACGCAGCAAATTGTAGAACAATGTAAAATAGAATCCCTGCTTAGCAGCTATAACTATCTAAACACTAATTAATTAACTCTTATAATAATAACTATATACAATACTAGGACTACAAAACTAGGGGCAATTGCTCTCCTTCTAAGCGACTCTAAGATGCTTGCAGAGCTGGTCCAGCAAGACCCTCTGCTGCTGCTGCTGCTAGCTCACCTGCCACATAGCCGCCTCCTCACTAGTCCTCTGCGCCTGCGCGATGCGCCTAATCTCCTTAATAACCTTAAGCCGCAGAGAGTACCACTACAGCTCGCTCTAACAACCTAACCTCCACTTGTTCCCCCAGCGCCTGTCTAGCTCAGCAATAGAAGGCTAGCCCTGCAGGCCTACTGTCCATTCGCGCCAGAGATCCTCCACGGTCCTCACAGCGCGGCACATGCGATGCTTCAGTGCAGGTTCTAGCTCAGGCGCCAGCTCAAGCGCTGCTGGCAGCGGCGATGGGCTAGGCGAGCGCGCAGACGGCGTAGGCGCGAGGCTGGCCTGGGCAGAGGTATACCTGCTTGAATCTACGTCTGCCAGCGACGGCGGCGCAGCTGCTGTGTGCCTGAGTGGAGGTGGTGGCAGCAGCAGACCGCCCTGCGCCTGCGATGCCTCCAGGCGGAACATAAGGCTGCCAGACGTGAGCACCTGCAGCTGCTAAGACTGTAATCTCTGCAGCTTGCGCACGTAATTAAGCTCCTCCTTAAGCTCTCTCTTAAGCTCCCTTATCTGCTGCTTGTTCTAGGCATCTAGCGCTTAGAGCTAGTCAGCAAGCAGGGGTATTGCCTAGTATAGGACTAACAGCTAACTAAGAGCTGCCTCTGCGTTAAGAGACGCGTTAATGTCCTAAGCAAAGGCAGCGTACGCCCTGTGCTAGAACACTAGGTGGCTCCACACAGGGTGGCTAGGGAAGCGCTAGCGCAGCGCAACTAAGTCCTAGAGGATCACCTCTCTGAGGTAGAGCAGTAGGCTTGTAAGGCCCCCTGCGGCTAGGTCGTTGATCTGGCTAGCGTGTGGGCTAAAGCGGCCCTTCCACACATTAAGCTCTGGCCAGATGAGAGACAGGAGCTTGTCTGGAGGCATAACAGCTGCGCGAGGGATCTTGAAGCAGCCCATCTGCAGCAGATGGCCAGCCATAGACCTTATGAACTTCTGCGGCAGTAAGTTAAGGTAGCAGCTAACTATTTACTTCTAATTCTACCTGCCTGCTTACTAAATCTAATCCTTACTAACCCCTTTAAGCTCTGCTAGCTTAGCTGCTCTACTGCGTAGAAGGTAAGTCTTCTTCTAAGATAAGATCCTAGCGTAACTGTACGCCTTCGCGACCTAGTTGCGCTGGGAGTTGTAGGAGAAGGCTGCTGTACAATCGCCTGTGCTGGCCTTAATTAGCTGTATGCAGTACTAGGCTAAGCGCTTACTAAAGTCAGGAAAGGGCTTGTCGCCTAGGTCCTAGTAATAGAGCAGGTAGAAGGCTAGGCTGCTAAGCATGCAGAGGATTAGCTTCTTGTGCCGCAGCGCGCCTATTGTCTTGAGCTAGCTATGCTAGTTCTGCTTGCTTGCGCGGGTGGTGAATATTAGGGGCATGCAGCGCGTAGGGCTTTCCCCTTTAAACTTAAAAGTAAATAGGTCTAAGATCTCTGCAGAACAGCAGTTGCCTCCACACATAAGCATGTAGTGGCCCAGCATAAGATCAACTAGCGTACGGAAGTGACACTCTACTGTTGCTGAGGACAAGCTTGCGTCTGCGCTATGTGTCCACAGCTTGCTACAGAGCCGCTTAAACTTGTCCTTAGTGTAGCTGTTAAGCAGCGTGTCTCTGCCCTTGTTAGCGTACTGCTCTCAATCTCGCTGGGCATCCCTGCGCTGCAGAGACCTAAGGTACTCCCTTACGCTGTCTACGCGCGGCAATAGGTGGCTGTTCATGCCTAGCGCCTTCTGCTCTCGCCAGAGGTTAGTGATGGCTGTAATGTAGGCGCAAACTAAGCGCTAGGCAAGACGTGTCTTATCTTAAGGGACATTGCTCTCTACCTTGCAAGACCTAGTCCTTAAGGGCTAGTTTACAACTTTCTTAACTAAGAAAAGCAGCAGCTTTTCCTTTATAATAGTGCTGCTGTTGTGGTACTGCTTCCTCTTACAGAACGCCTAGACACAGGAGTTAGCACAGACACAGACACACAGATAGGCAGGCAGGCGGGCGAGAATACTACTTTAAATTCCTCCTGCTTTAGAACATAGACCTAGTGCGTATTCTCTGGCCGCTGCTTATAAATTGTAGCTAGGATATAGTGCGCATTAGCGCGCAGCTTAGCGTTGTTCGCGATGTTGACGTCTGCGCGCTCGCGACGCGCCCTGCGCTGTAGACCCATGCTCGCTCGCCTTGCCCTGCTCTTGCCCCTGAGTGAGTGTGTACAGTGAGGGAGGGTATATACAGCAGCAAGCAGTGCACGCTGAAGCTCGGGCTCGGGATGAAGGTGAGGGCAGGGCCTGGCCTGCCCTAGGGCCTCTCCATCCATACATATATGTGTGTGTGTGTGTGTGTGTGTGTGTAGTACAGGAGCCATCAGCGGCGGGCTCAGCAGGCGGCCGGTGCAGTAGGAGATGTCCACCGCACGGGCGCGAGAGCCGGGGGTGGACATCCGCAGACGCCCGCAGGAGGCGATTGGTCGAGAAGCGAGACAGCGACTCAGCCAAGGCTCAGTGCGGCCTCGAATACCAGGAGGTATGGTGTTTCGAAGCATCGTACAAGCTCGTCGACAGAAGGATAAACTCCGTTTTCGCCCCTCGCTTTCATGCCTCACCTCCCGCGGAGAGTTTATACAACGAACCATTCTTTATCTGACATCCAAGCACACCTTCCATTCTTTTCTTACATGCCAAGACTGGTCTTGCCATCTATCGAAGCTTTTTGTAATCCTCATATACCTGTATTTTTTTTTGCACATATAGCCGACAACATGTACGGACGCTTCATCCTTCTTGTTGCCACTTTCACTCTCTCTATTGTGGCTGCTCCGATTCCAGTAGCCTCTCCAGATAACTTGACTATAGAGACTGTTATCAAAGGTCGATCTGAGGTAACCATGACCATGCGTTATGTCCGAGTCATGTGCTAATCATGATTGCAGATCCTCCCCCGAGTTGTCGTTGTTGATGATAAACGACAGACAATCTCCGATGACGGGAATGAAGTTGTTAGCCATAAGCGTCAAACCATTTCTGACGATGGGAATGAGGTGGTTGGACATAAGCGACAAACCATCTCCGACGAGGGTGACGAAGTAATCGGCCACAAACGACAGACCATCTCCGACGAGGGCAACGAAGTAATCGGTCACAAGCGGCAGAATATCTCCGACGAGGGAGATGAAGTAGTCAGCCATTGAAGACAAGTCACCGCAGACGGTGGAAACTACGTGGTCGGACATTGATCTTTTGCGCCAGAGGCCTTCGTGTCAAAGGCTGCAAAGGTAGTCATCAACGGCGACCTTGTCAGTTGAATAAGATCCGCACAGGCCTTATCGAGACTCGGACCTCCAGTTATACCAGTTGCGCTAGATTTCCTTCAGTGTTCCTCGAATCTTTACCCGCGCAGGAAAGTGTCGAATTCTCATGTCGTTATGAGACTGAGGGCAGTCGAGGTTCATTTTGTGCTGCAAGGTTGCACTTGCAGGTGGACATCGGATGATCGACGACTGTGAGGCAAGGTAGCTTGTCCGTATCGTATACGAGCCTTATCCATTTCAAAGTTTCCAGTTCAAAGGATTCTAGGGTTGATGCTAGCTTTGATTGGCAAATATCGCAGAAGATACATAGGTCAGGGTGCGATCAGTAGAGTCTCAAATCCAACCGGGTGGCGGCTGATTCTGTTTTGGTGCCAACGGGGAAAATAAGTTCCCAGAAACTCTCCAGCCTTTCTTAGGAAGCAATTTAACTCTCAACTCTTTAGTCTTAGCTCGCGGAGTACCCATAGTGGCAGAGGAGGTGATTTTCTTCTGCATCGCATCCGGAAGACCGTAGAGCAGGGTCGCAATAGCCGACGTTTTCCAGATGCCAACCTGATCCCTTTCCATTGAGCTCTTGATTATCGTGCCAATGAGGAAAATCAGACTAAGAAAAAGGACGACAAAAGGTAGGGAAAGCCAAATCCATCTCACTGCAACATAGGTTTCCATACTGAAAGCCTCCCCGGACACCGTTTCCGTGGTGTTCGTAGATCGAATTACGTTCGTCAGGGCTGTGGCCAGTTTTTCCATATGGCTTGTCACATTGTTCGGCGCTATCCAAGGATTGTCCCCGAAGCTGCGTAGTCTAGGTTGGCCTTTCACGTACACTTGGTATCGCATCAATGGGGTGGTAGAAGCATTCGCCACGGTTGCGAAGGAAGGGAACATGTCGTCAAAGACGGCCATGTTTTGTATAGCTGTATTGTTAGAAAGTCCGTATGAAGGACCACCCGCACCATTCGAAGGATCGACCGTAATACTTTCAAGGTAGAATGTGCTGGTCCCATTGACAGGCCCGGTGGTTCGGGTTGTTTGCCATGGGTAAGGTCCCTCGGTTGTATTCACAAACTGATCTATCACTTCCTCTTTGTAATTCGCCCAGTAGTACGAAGATGTGATCTTTTTGACGCACCACGAGAGAACACACTCATGTGCTATGGGAGTCTTGTTCTGGTAAACGCTATTGAGCCCGTTTGAGGCACCAACAATCAGGAAGTCCGTGATTGGATTGCGAACATGCTTGAAATTGATGGAGCCCCCAAATACTGTTTGTCTTGAGGGGGCCGTCACCATTGGCAAAGCGCGCATCAGGAGGGCTTCTCCTGGTGAAGATGTGATAGGATTAATGCTGTACCCAGACATAAGAACTGGGAAGTCACTCGTCGCGTTGAGAAAATACCCGCATGCTGTTCCATTAGGGTACACAGCATCAACTCCACCAGTCTGATTTGCAAACCAGTCTATTCTTGTAGTAAGGCAAGTAAATGTTAGGAGATAGGACACATCTACACATTTGCTGCAAACTCCCAGTGTTTCGTACGGCGGCCATGTACAGTTGCTCGTGGGACATAGTAGGGGGATATCAGGCCTTGTTGCGTTCCCAAGGATGATTGGCTGAGTGCCATGACCGTAGAAAAATAGTTCCGCAACACCCTGGGTGTTCTGGTCTTGTTGAACAACCTCTACTGTGCCCTGAAACTTCTGACCAAAATGAGGTTGGTACCGGGTGACTTTGGGGATGGAGGAATTTCCCTGCAAAGTCCAGCGTGGCGGGAAGTCGACTACCTGCTGAAAGAAGGGATCGAGAGCGAGCGAAAGCAAAGTTACGGCAGCTCCGAGCGCTGCCAGTGTCCTGGTGGTAGTATTCGTCAGCAAGGTTCCGACGACCAGGTTGATGAGAGGAGAAACATACTTGCACTTTGTGCGGATTAAAAGGAGAAGAGCCCCCCACGGCCCCCGAGAAGCATTATCAAAAATCTCGAAATCCCACATCTTCTTTGAGCCACTTTGGAACCAGCTCCATTTCAGTTGGCCTAGCGCCTCGGCTGTTGGTAGTATGAGGGATGCAGATGCAACTTTGGAAAGGATGGCAATCATGGTATTCAGGGTCAGGTTACCCGGCCACTGAGGCAGTTTCCTATCTCTGTAGTATAAAAGGATGCCAACTATAGCGCCCATGCAGATGGCGCTAGTGCTCCAACAAATGATTTCGAGAAGCCATCGTGCGACAACGTTTCCAGAAGAATTATATATCCAAATTTTCTTCTCGATTCTTTGGGCAATGTCCGGCGTCGACCCATTGTTTTCACGTATTGATTGACGCCTTGATGACCTGAGCGTCGAGGTATGTAGCATACCCGTGGAGGTTTTTGCGATTCCAAGGCCAGATTCAAGGTCACTCCATCGTCCAGTTTTGACGCCCTCCGATTTTTGCGGAGAGCCAGAAGTGGAAGTATGTGGACGGTCGTATTGTCTGATCAATTGCGGATTCGGGACTTTGAGAGAGAAGTTTTCAGGTTGAAGAGGAGAAGCGACTGTGATGTACTGGATGAATCGTTCGCAGGAAGTGGTCGGAGATGGGGCGTGGAGACTTCCACTACTATTTATTCGAGTCCCAGGTTTCCCAGAATCATCGTGAGTATCGAAAAATATCGGAACTTCCGGATATTGCGGCCATGTAGATAGCCGAGATGGACTCGACATTTGGAAGTCTAGAGAAGGGCGTTGGGAATGTTTTGTAGTTGAGAGGCAGGAGATGATGAATTCAGTAAAGCGAAAATTCAGAATCTGGAAGAGAAACTGATCTCCCAGGAGATTTCGAAGAAAAGAAGGACGAGAATGTCGGATTGCTGAAAGAAGAGCGATTCAGCAGAGAATGCTGTGTCATTGAATTTCTTCTTGTCGGATTCTGACTCAAGTTCCATATTTCGTTCGACCTGCCATAACAAGGAGGTATATATTCAGAGTTCGCAGAGTTCGGCAGCAAATATGGGAAGAAGGCTGCCAGGTCAAAGAGGATAAGCAAGCATGGGAGAAGGACTACTTTAGGTGTTTCGTCGATTTCTGTTTGAAACGAAGATTAGGTTGGGTTAAGACTGAAGGTGGCGTGAAACATCCCTACAGTGTTGTGACGGAGACTGTGAGGACCATTATTCCACAATGAGAGCTTAACCGATCCGGGGTACGGATTAGTATGATATCTACATGCGCGAGCTCGTAAATTTAAGCTAAAGTAGGAGGTTGAAGCTTCTCTTCTCAAATCTGGGTGTGAAATTTCCGCCGGATGGCTTCATCCCGAGACCTTGGAAACATTTCAGCCCTTCGACGGTTAGATGTAAGCGCCACCAGCCAGGTCAGCCCATAAAGTACAAGATGTAGGCGCCCAAGTACAAAGTACGAAGAGCCAATGCATATTATTAGCCTTAAGCTGTCCGAGAAAACCGACCAGTCACGATGGTACTGTGGCACGGTAATCGGGCGGCTCGATCGTCCACGTAGACCCGAGACTAGGCGAGACCAACACAGGAAGCCACTGCACCAAGATGAAGCTTCAACAAAAAGCTGACGGATTAAGATAATAGTAAAGAATCTTGACCAACTAAGGGGCGAACGCCAAACTCCTTTTGTCTTACGATCTAAGGTTAGTACTCGAGTTTGAATGTTTGAATCCGAGTTAGGTCCAACAAGTCCAGTTCACGGAAGAAGGACTATACCGCTCATCATAGAGTTTATTGTATCAACAGGGACCACCTTGCGGGCCTGCGGCGGAGATTCCACTGGTATGGAAAGTAGTCTAGGTTTTGGAGGTTCCACCGCACTTTCGATCCCTGGGGAGAGCTATTATTAATACGTCACGTGCGCTGGAAGACCAATTTTGGAGACTTTCATTAATCTAGCGGTCAGGTCGCTGGCCGTCAATATGCCATTTCGGGATCCTTCGGTAAATGGCACCGTCTGATTGGGTTCTAAGAACGGTAAGATGTTGAATTGTTGGTATTTCGGACTGGAGCTTGATCGGTTACTGCATAAGTGCATGAAAGAGCCGCGTTGTTGCTTTGGCAAGCTGGCGCTTGGTGAAGCAAATTGTCGCACGGGAGGCCATAGCCGCCTATTGGGTGGCCAATGTGAAGGCTTCTAGAAAACGGCAGTGAGCTATCAGGTAACGCCCTCGAGCGACACTCTGACGAAACGAGCTTTTTATAGATACCACGAGACAGCAGCATGTTTCGAGGAAGTGTGGAGGAGTTGTGTGAAGAGTGACGACGGAGCGGGCAGGGGTGGGGTGGTGGGGTCTAACAACACCACCCGATCCTACCCTTTTAGCGCAGAATTCTTCCTGGCACAGTCTTGGCGTCCCAGAATTGTTCTTCCCTCCGACCATGTTTTTAAACCCGCAGTCTCAGAGGGCAAGGGACAAATCTATTGGCAGTGCCGTGGGAGGAAGCACCAGCAACTTTCTTTGCTCGCCCGCACCCATCCGTGCCTAGGTCTATTGCAGCCTTCTTGCCGAACACCCCCTCTTCCTCGCTTCGGAGAATGCAACCATAGAAGACGCAGAGCCCAATAAGCGGCCCTTCGCAAAAGCACGCCTCACACGTCTGAGGCTTGCTATGGGCTATACACCATCTACTTTACCAATCCTGGCTACATCAAGCACCAAACGATGCGCTTAATAGAGCTCAACGTATGGAAGAAGACGCTCAAGGATACAAGTTAGACTGGTTTCAGCAATATTTATTAGAGTAGCTTAAGTGGTGCAAGGTCTATACACGGGCACGTGATTGGTAATGGGGGACCCTGTACAGCCGTACGGTGGGTGTCACAGGTGGTTACCGTGACAGCTAGCAAGCAATTTCTATAACTCTAAAGCTAATAGAAGCACTAATGGCATACGAAACTAGCTTAATTGCTGAAGGAGTGTTCTTAGGGCCTATATATATGCAAGAAATGGGTAAGTCTTAGCAGCATGTGACTATCGTGTGAGCCAGCGTGACTACTGCAAACAGGTGCCCTCTCTTAGCAATCAGTCTAGTTCTTTATGCCTCTGGTGCTTCCATTAGCTTGACAGAAAACCTACAGGCGCAAAGTGCTTAATTTGAAGTCGTTTTTAAATCTCAATTTAGTACTAATCCTTCACTGTCCCAACCAACCATCATTCTATCGTACTTTTCTTCGCATGCCATCCCAACGAAACGGAAACATAATTATCTCCATCCTGAATTTCTAATTAGAACTGTTCAAAAGAATTGTTGCCGCATTAGCGCCATCGCTTCATATATGACAATGATATTATTCGCCGCTCGTCGAAGCCGTAGCCTCGCAGGATCTCTAATAAATAAATTACAAACATTCAGAATGTTCAGGTGGGAGTTTTCTTACTTCCACGGATTTCAGGGAAGTTACACGTGATTTTGTCATATACTCGGCCATGCGTAAGACAACTAATTTTAGGCATAATCTTACAGGTGAATCGACTTCACAGTATTGTGCAGAAGACCTCAAAAGTTCCCCAAATTCAGCGTCCCCAACTCCTGACTCATGTTCAGGTTTGGTCGATCAATGCATTCGCGACGGCTGAGAAGCAAATAATCCGAACCGCATCCGGCGCGCATCATCACCATTACGATCACGGAGGTTGAAATGTCGAGATGTATTACCATTACGTCATACAATATCCATCCCGTATACCAAATCATGTCTCAGGCAAAGCTTTTGATACGCATCTCTTCCCTCATCACATAAGTCATGTTCAACGTCTCACTTCACCAATCCAAGAAATAATCAATCCCATCACTAATTGCTGCACCTCCAACCGCCGCATGATCGCTAAAAGGATACGCGTGCAACTGCACATCTCGCAACTTCGAACTCGTCTTCAGTCCATTATACAACGCATTACAATTATCCGTCATCTTCATCGACTCAAGGATACTCTTCCTAAAGTCAAAATCTGCCTGTGTTTCTGTACGTCGTTTCACTGGAAACTGTTCGATGGCTCCGTAGCTGATCTGGTACGCGGGTTTTTGCTTTTTGGACAGATTATGGGTGTTCAGGAGCGTAAGGTTGGTCAGGATGTACCCGTTGTTCCAAAAGAGCGCGGGTGAGGCAGAGAGAAATGTGTCAAAGAGGGTGGGATGTGATATCAGCGCATAAAGTGTAAAAAGGCCGCCGAAGGAATGCCCGTATATCGCATCGCGGTGGAAATTTACGGCGGGAAAGACGCTTTGTTTAACCCACGGGCGCAGGGTCTTGTCAATAAATTTGATGAAATCTTCTGCGCCGGAACGAACGCCGGGAGCTGAAGGAGCAGTGCAGTTCAAACACCAAGGCGGCTGAAAGTCGATGCTACGTTGCGCGCTGTATGGTGAGTCGCTGATGGGGTACCCAATGCTGACGACAATGGTGTCGGGTTGGTTAAACTCGACGGGGCGGCGGCGACGGAAGGCTTCTGTCGCGCCGAAGCCGAGGGCGTTTCCATCGAGGATGTACCTGGGAGAGTGAGTGCAAGCCTCCACGGAGCAACGGCGATGGCTGAACTTACATGGTTTCAACCGTACTATTCGTATTCCTCGAGCTCCATTCCAACGGCCATGCGACCTCAATCTGATACTTCAAATCCGTGACATTGCTCGTCACGCTCCAAACCTGAGCGTTCGGGATTACGGTCTGAGGGAACGACTGGACGAGCGGACTGAACAACCAATTGCCGACTTGTACCATGATGATCCTTCGTTCCTGCGTATGTATGTAGAGAGGAGAATCTGCGAAGCGGATAAAACTGGAGCTCTCGTACAGTCTGAACCAAAGGCCTGGAATCCTTCCTCAGGCACCACTCTTTATACACCACTCCAGCCACGAAATCGCAGTCCGGATTGCTGAGCGGTGAAATAAAAAGCGGGGTGTCCACGTTCCTGCACGTTCTGTTGCCGCGCGTGCCTGGCGAGATGACCGGGATCCTTCCCCATGAAGTTAGCATCGAGTCCCCGAAGAACACTTCTCTAGCCGCGAGAACGGATCAGCAGCGTCAAAGTAGCTTAGCGCGGCCCAGAAAGAAATAGCCCGAGCACAAGCACGCGGCGAGGCGTGTTCGCGAACCCTCAAGGAACGCCGTCAGGCAGCCTATCGTGAGCATCTTATCGAAGAGGGGAAAAGTGCTAAGGCTATGGGCTGAGAGTCCCTCCACAAATGCAACATGTTGCAGGAAGAGAACATTGATTCTGTGCGTTTGCGGCACAGTGTTAGCCGGTATCGGGAAGGGAAATAGTTAACAGGTGCTTGGGTAGGAAAAGCTCGAGCTGCAGGAGTGCACGTGTTGTGCTTGCGCATCTGTTTCCGGGTGAGCATGAATCACTCGGGTTCGTATTCCGGCGCTGTTGACCTTCTAGCGGCCTTCTTTCTGCATGTTCCCGCTGGACGGAGACTCGATTTGCGAGCGGAGAAGCAGAAAACCGGGAATGAGGAATGGTGGCTGAGTCTTACCGAGGGGCTGGGCTTCGACGCTCAACCCAATGTTCGGCTTCGCAAAACAATCGATAAAAACTACGCATATGCCGAGTCATTCTATGAGGTATTAAGCTCATGGTGTTTTCATAACAGATAGAACTGCCGATGTTCTTACCACATTCCATGCAGGATACAATCGTGCCGCGTAAGTCTGAACCCGGGAATCAAGTCTCATTCTCTGGATATTCTCTTCCAGCATCCAAATGGTTGAAAAAGTCCACTGAAGCTCGATGAGAAGTTTAGACCCCTTTCCAGAACAATTTAGTAGAACTCGGTCCCTGACACAAGCGTGGGCGTCCAGGTTCACTTGCCGATCCTAGCATCATTTGGGTAACTGGTCCATTTCCCGGGACTCCCTCAGCTCTTCCCGTCTTCTATGATGTCTTTCTCCTCCGATACTATCAGCCCATAATATCCATTTAACAAGATCTACAAATACGTCCCACTAGTCGAGGCCTAACTTCCGTATCACCGATGCCAGCCACAACGAACTAATAGCGTTCACAGGCTCGGTAGCCTCAAGATTAGCCTGAAAGAAAGAGGAGGAAAAAAAAGGTGGTCTTGGCGTTCCCCAATCCAGGAAGTGGGGTTTCAGCAACGTTGAGTGCCTCTGGCGAAGGATAGTTGCTTGCACTGGGTGGATACTAAACGTATTCCAAATCGGAAAGAGGACAAGGAGAGTTCCGATCCTGCAAACTTCTCCTATAACATCACCACAACTAAGACGCTATTCGGTAATTGCGAATTTTAGTTCGTACCATTCAGCAAAACAAGAGTGGGCGACAGATCACGTATTCTAGCCAGGTGTGGATTTGGAGAAAATGTTCTAGGATGAGTAAATGTGCAGTGTTGACGATTGGCATCCTGAATTGGTTGCTTGAGAGTTCTTGCGTCCATAACGCTGATATTGAGTGTGATTTTAATGAGTCTGGAGGTGTTTCGATGATCGCGAAAGAATCTTCCGAGAGTGAAAAACCCTGAGATATGTCTACGGAGAATGCCCCGCAAATATCTACCTTACAATCCATTGAGCTAGTATGTTGATAGCGAAACGTTTGGTCATACTGATGCAATACGCAAGGGGAATCCTCAGCCGTTCTTTTTTTTAGTGTCTGCACCCCGCTTCTCAGCTAAATCTTTTGCACTAGTCATACATATGTCTATTCCAACCCTCGAAAGTTCTTAAAAATACTATTTCCTCTTTTAGCGTCCACCTTCTTTCCCCACGTGTCTATTTATGTCCTTAGAATCAACAGGAATTACTCGCATGATACGTCAAGAATCCTGCCATGTTTCTAATCAAACTATCGCTCGTATACCTTTTCAACTCATCCAGCAGTTGGCTAGTTAGACTCAGGGCTTTGACTTGATGTGAGAAGCTTCACGTGCTCCCTTCGCTTTTCTCACTGCCTACTTGAAACATATGGACAAGTGGAATAGAGCATGAAAGCGCGGTTCGAACAGAGTGGCCGAAATGCGTGCCTAAAGTAGTCCAGATGAGCTAGTGGCGGAGGAGTGGCTTGTGTTGGTTTCGAATACTGCCACAAGAAAAGTCAGATCAGAAGGCGATGTTTCATGGGAAAGAGAATGTGAGGAGGTCATTTGAGAAATCGAGAAAGTAGCTGGAGTCTGACGTATAGAGAGAAAGCTTCTGAAGGACAACTTACTGTTCGAGACCAAGTACTTCTCCTTGTGCCCAGGCGCAAATAGGTATTCTCTATATGGATCAATATCCCCAAAGGCAACCCTTCCTAGTGTCATATCTTCCTAGAGAGATTGGGGCTGTACTTCAACATGATCTTGTTCCCTTCCTATTTTAGCCGCTGCCTTTTCCTCGATGGGCCAAAATTACTCATTGCGGAACATCGCATATAGTATAGAGTGTCCTGGTCTGTGAGATAATTCGTATGGAACAAATTGATGTATTTGAAGGTAGCTTTAGGAGGTGGTACGTCGCTCATAATCGTTCGTAAGCTACAGTCAACCCTCACTCCCGAATTCGAGGAATCCAACCAGGTTTATCTAGCCTTGAATTGATGTGATGAAATTATAGTATACAAGCTAATGAATACAACTAGCTAACATCGAGTTAGATAAACAACCGATGTAAGTCAATCCCTATCGCTGTGGGAATGATCCCACTAAAATCTGTGGCCGAGGTCTTGCACGCTAGATGTTGACGGTAAAATTCCATTACAGATTCGAACGGTCGGGTGGAAGCGAATCTAGTGCTAGCGGAAGCAGAAGCAGGGGACCAGCTAGCGAAAGATGTCAGCGAGCTTGGGTGACAGCGGGAGGGAGTACTCTATTCTGATAGGGCGATGGTACAAATGCTTATTTGCATGGGCACGTACGCCACGTCGACACTCAACGAAGAGAATATGGGATCACCTACAGCTGAGATGTGGAGATCGAGTTATAGTGGTGATAGGACGGAGAATCATGAGAACACAATTGCAATTAGAATGACGACAAAACTTGTGGAACGTGTGAGAAAATGGAGATTCGGAAACAAGAGGAAGAAAGCGAATCCCTAAGAACTGGAACTCGTCCCACCATTCCCGCTCCCGTTCCCACCTTGCCGTTGCTTGTTCCGCACATATTCAAAGAACGCTGGCAGCATATCCGCCTTCATACTTCTATGGAACTCCCACTCCTCCTCCTGCGCCTTCACTGTTGGCCCGACATATATCTGAAGTGGATGCAGCCTCGCCAAGGGCCAAAGGTCCTTTGGTCTCTGAGCTAGTGTCGATAGTAGCGGATAAATCTCATCGAACACCAGGGTTGTGAGAACCTTGAAGTTGCCCGTGAAGCCAGGGGCGGTTTGCCGAATGAGTTCAGGGTCGTAGACGGCAGGGTCGACGAGTCGGATGTGGCCGCCGGAATCCCCGAACGGGGGTCTGCTTTCGGGGAACGGGTGGGAATAGCTGATGCAGCTCTGTGAGTCGACGACGAGAAAGTCCTGTTTCCACATGCGGCGCATGAAATCCGGGTGAGATGGTGTTGCGAACGTTGCGAAATGGCTGGAAAATGTTAGCTCCCTAAAAGAAGGAGATGGAAAACATAAGTGCTCACCGCTTCGCGCCTTCTATGTCCTCCTCCGCGATTCCCACATCCCTGCCATCGATCCACTGCAGTCCACCCGTTGCTTTTACCTTGTCAGCACCCTCGACCCAATCTCCAGCCCTCATGAGATCTGCTTCAAGTTTTTCTTTGAACTGTGCCCATTCTTCGTCTGTCTGTTTGTACGTCAACCGATAGCACACAAAGCCCCAAGTTTGTTTCTCTGGATCGCCACCGTGTTTCAGATACCAGTCGATCCTAGACTTGAGTATTGTTATCCAATGCTCATCACCCAGCTTCTCCGGCTCGCCGCGGAATTCCCTTCGAATCACCGCGCGGTTGTTCCTGGCTTCGTCAAAGTAGGCCATTAAAGCCTCGCGGTTCTGAAGACCTGCGTTGCGATTTTCGTGATCACTGAACGGTATGTGGTTATCCCAGGATTTTGTATCAGCTAGCTGATAGTATATGTTCTGTCGCACCTCCAATGAGAGGTCCTCGATACCGGTCCTGGAGGTATCGTGTCCCTTGAATCCCTCCATTGGTAGAAAGCATACGAAATCGGCTTGAGTGATCGCGAGATTAAGATCCTGTACGCGCTCGAAGAATATCTTTCCTGCGGCGGTAATGGAAGGAGTATCGATCCGAGCGGCATCGTATTCTTTCTCATACTCGATCTTGCTCTTCACCTGAAGCTCCTCCACGCGATCTACTAGCCATTGATGAGTCCTCCCGGAAATCGTCTTAAAGATCGCCCGCATATACTCTTCCCACATCCCCGTGATATTCATCCGTTCCGCAATGCCCATCTGCTCGCGTCTTGCATTAATCGCAACTTCATACGTCTCATATTCCTTCCACAGCCAATTGTACCCCTGTCTCAACTGTTGTTGAACATTCTCGTCATTCATGAACGCAAATATTTTTAAGATCTCAACCATCAGATCCTGGAATTGTTGGAAATTCTTCGGATCATCTAGCTTCTTCTCCTTCCAGCGTCCGCCCGTCATCGGCACCATCCCATTCCAAAGCTTGGCTTTCAGCGACTGCAACCGAGCTGGAAATGCCACAATTGCGAGACCCTCTTTGAAGAAAGCACCGGTAATTCTATCCATAAGGGAGGCGTTGATACGGTTGTAAGGTGCTACAGCCCAGGTGCTGTACGGTGCGTTTTGCAGTGGAACCTCATCATCTCGCATCAAAGGAAAGGATGTGAGACCACCCCCAGGAAGCCAGCCCTCATACATGCAGTCGCCGAATTGCATGACGGTTTGGGGAGGGATCAAGCGATCCACTGAATCACGTGTCAAAAGCGTTAAGACCCTGTGGCTGTGCGCGACTTACTGTACACCAGGCCGTGCAGTTGTTCCATGCTCCAGGCATTTGGATCACCAAATTGGGAATGCATCGCACGTTGAGCTAGATCGACATCAATATTCGATACATTGTTGCTTCCCCGGTCCATCTTGAGTGTTGAGGTGGTGAAGTACGCGTTCTGGTGACCGCACCACAATTGGACGAATGGAACTGGGCGGAACCGTTTTGCGAAGACGGGAAGAGTTTGCCGTCGCGCAAAATAATGCAGGTACTGGCGATACGCGTTCATCGTGTTGACAACGCGTTGCTTTTTGTATTCATGGAGGAGGAGGATGCTGAAGGAATCGCTCAAGAGTGGCTCAGGGGCGAGGTTGCCTAAGAATATTTCTTGGCCCAAGCCGGAAAAGGGCATACACTAACTCCACTCGGACAGTTAGACTCTGGAGGATTCGAGTTTTCCTATAAGGAGCCATGACTGCCTGAAGTCAATACTCGACATGGAACTAGATGGGTTCCCAGTCGCTATGATTGACGACGGATTTGTTGGTAGTGAAATGAATGTCCAGGTAGGGTACGATGACGCCATACGTAAGAAAAGTCCTTCTTCCAACCATTCAGCGCTCTACTCCGTCCTGAATCCCATATAGCCATTTGCAGCACACTCACTAATTGTCTTGTAGTATGTCGGAACACCTCCAAGGTAAATCAATGGCTCTCTTGGCTTCCCAGGGATATTATCGCCCATGTACCACTTTTTGTCGTCAGCATAAAATTCACATCAAGATTCAACAACCAGTAGACTTACCGACTTCGCAGTCGGGAGAAGCGATGCATTTGCAAACCTCAAGATATCCTCCTTCCACTTCTTCTCACCCTCAGCTTCGGCTTCAATCCTCCTCAATCCCTTCAACTTCATATGATTTATGACATTCACTATCCAGTCACCCTGGAGCTCCGCGCAAGTTGGCCCATTGCAAAATGCTGTCGGAGCCTGTGGTCCATAGGTGAAGAACAGGTTGGGGAATCCGGACACGCTCATTCCGAGATACGTCTTACACCCATCCACCCAGTGCTCACTCAGCGACTCCCCAGAAGGACCCTTAATGTCAATCTGGGAAAGACCTCCAGTGAGGGCATCGAAACCTGTTGCACAGATAATGTAATCAAACTCGAACTCCTTTTCGCTAGTTTTAATACCTTTCTCAGTGATTTCCTCGATCGGTGTCGCCTTCATGTCAACGAGATGTACATGTGGCTCGTTGAAGATCTCGAAGTAACCGTTTTCGAGAGAAATGCGCTTGCAGCCAAAGGCATGGAGTTGCTTCATTGGAGCCAGGATATCGGCAATCTCCTTTTTGTGGATCCTAGCTCGCGTCTTGTCGCGCCAGAAGTTATACGCTTCGCGATTCGCGGATTCAACGAACAGCATGTCTTTGTAGGTCGCGAGCCAGAACTTAAAGTCACCTTCAGCCCATAGCTTCTCGTATATATTCAGACGTTCTTCTAGCGAGTCGTCGAAGGTAGAGCGAGGAATGAAGTCGAAGTCAAATCCAGAGAAGCACTCCTTGCGGCCATTGAAGAGGTCGGGATATTCTGATCTGGGGTGAGCTTGCTCGGGAAGGTTGTAGTTGACTTGCCTCATGGGCATGCACGTGTTTGGCGTGCGTATGAATACATGCAGTTTCTCGGCGACCTTACTGAGGTCGGTTGCTAGCTGGACGCCTGTCGAGCCGGCGCCGATGACAGCTATTCTTTTACCCCGGAGATTGGGTTCTTCATGCGGCCAGTATGAGGGATGGACGAATATCCCTAAGTACAAGGTTAGTACTAAGCTTAGTTATCTTGGTTTCGAGATAGTACGTACCTTTGAACTTCTCGATTCCCTTCCAGCCTGGAATGTACCGCTTCGCAGCAAAGCCCGCGCTAATTGAAAGAAACTTGACCTTGTAAGTCCTGCCATTCTTCGTCTTCGCAACCCACTTAGCCTCAACATCGTCCCAAGAGGCCGAGCTAACGAAAGTGTTGAACTCAGTATCCTTCCTCAAATTCCACTTGTCGGCCACATGAGCAAAGTACGCACGCAACTCCGCACTCCCGGGGAACCGCTGTCTCCAAGTCCAGTCTTTCCACAAATCTGGGTCAGAGAACTCGTAAAGAGGGATAGTGGTGTCTACACGAGCACCTGGGTATCGATTCCAATACCAGACGCCACCATAATCAGTGCCAGCTTCCACGAGCTTGACACGGTATCCATGGTCGCGAAATGACTTCAGTTGATAAACCCCACCGAAACCAGCGCCTACAACAAGGACATCGAGTTCTTGAACTTCAGCGCTGTAGACACCGTTGGTTTTATTGAGACTATTGGCACTATCTTCATTCAAGGGAAGAAGTTTCAATTCCTGAATTGAAGTCATCTTGAAGAGAATTTAGAATAAGAAACCGCCTAAAAATATAGAGAAGCGATTTTGTATAGCGCGGGTGAAGAAAAAGTCGATAAAACTTAGGTGGCAAAGTTAGAATGGCTCCGCAGATGGTGGAGAAGGTCTGGTGACGTGATGGCTGAGAGCCATGAATATTCTAGTCTGTATCTGTTTGAACGATTGGTTAGAGAAAACGCAATCCGTATGGTGTTTGAGTCGACAAGGGCTTTGCGGTTCCGACAGGTTTGCAATTGAAGAGGAGGGGGCTTAGGTGAGCCTCATAGCTCTCAGAACATCCTACACCGATAGCACTCATGCAAGAATCTTCTCTAATATCGAATGGCAGCGATTCAAGACCTTCTCTGGCAGTAGGCTACCGCGCAATCGTTCCGCTTTGTTATGGCTGATCTATCCTAATTGGGAAACTGTGCATGCAATTTTAATCTAAAGATGAGGGGAGCCAAGGGTCATGGATCCACTAAAGAATAGACACAGAACACCATCGAATAGTATCCTGCATGAAAAAATTATAACCCCTCATATTTTGCCCTGGAAATGTTCATTTTCATATCATTACCGTCCTATTTCGAGCAAGATTAGCGATTTATGATCGAATCAACGATCGCAACGATTTCAAAGAACGCGATTGTAAAGATGCCTCGTCGAGCCACCTGAGACCAATAGAATGAGGAATCACCTCCGATAAGGAGGACACCTGCGAAATCCCCGAGTCCCGACCGTTCGGGACGTGATGATTTGCTGTGTCGGGGCTAGCTTTTCCCGATAAACCTCATCGTGATACTAGGGGCGGTAAATCGTAGGATCTGACAGGCTCGGCTGTATATTACCGATTCATTCCGATGCCAGAAGTCCAAATGGAGAGGCGAAGATGTTCAAGGAATCAGGCTGTCGACGAACGAGACCACTTACTGTGTTAAATCCTAGTGTAAGCGTTTACAAAATGTTACCACCTAACGTAGAACATTAATTAGAGTATTTTAACTCTGTTAGGTCCCTTGCAAGATTTAATCTGAAGTTAATAAGATGCTAATGTCTGTTCTGAGGTAAGATTACTGTGGTCATGTTCCATGGTTAGTGACAAGATCCAGTTCCACGATCAGCATACAATGCACTACCCCAATGAAGTTAAAAGGGCTAAAATATCCATGACAAACCCCCAGTCATCTAGCAGCAGCTATGGTAGCGTCTAGCCATCCCCAGGCCCTTCGCTTGTCCTCTCTCGTAGGAGATTCGCCCAGTTCAGCATTTCCCTCTCCCGGAGGTTAGTTGTCATAAAGCCATAGCAGCAAAAATAGTCTTCATTGGCTCAACTGAGTAGCGGGGCTACTATTAGCATATATATTTCATTTGGAAGAAGACAGGCAGAATCCTTGCTCCCCCCGAAAGATCTTCCCAGGCAAGGGGCCCTTCCAGGAACAGCACATGTACTTTGGGGACACCACAGCGCGAGTGAAAATTGAGATGGATTGAGACCACCTCTGTTTCCAAGAGTCGTACAATTGATTATGGAAGCTTGCTAACGCCGGGGAAAAGATGTAGATGCCTGTGAATGTCGCCACAGCCGTCGGTGTCGAGCTCCATATTCATTACTAAATTTAGGAGCGATTGCAGAATTTTTGTTTAAGACAGAGCGCAGGGAAATACGGAGGAATCGTCAACCGCCTCGTTTTACATATGTAGCGAGAAGGCGTTGAGTCGATTTAACGCTAAGCGTAATCTATTGAAGGCTCAAACTCATCAATTCGTCGTCGAATGTTTTGTGAGACGCTATTCAACTCGAATGAGTACACAATATCCTTATTTAGGCCGCTTCAACAAACTTGCGCAATTTTATTTGAGACTGAAGATTAGGAGAGAGGGAAGCATGTCGGAGAAGAACTGTTCTGAGGACATACTTCAGATTCTAGTACATCAACAGGCTGCGTAGTCTTTCAAGAACGTCCACAAGGGTTTCAGTCAGAATTGTTCCAACGGAGGCCATAGTCGTCTATTTGGAAGGAGTGGAGGGGTGGGGGGTGCAGAATATGAAGTCATGGTTGGCTAATGTAGTTTATGAGCAATACAACTAGGTTGTGATACTCTCAGTCCACACCATCCTGATTGGATAACTCGAGAGGCATGTTGAGCCATTATGAGACAAAACTTGACGGAAGAGCGGACAGGGGTGGGTGCCTTGGTGGATTTGTGTAGATAGACAACTAGCATTCAATAGGCCATGAAGCGACTTAGTTACGTGCGTCAGCATAACGTGACTTTTCCGTGAATTAGCCAAGATATGGATTTCTTTGGGAAGTCTTTGTTCAATGAAGGATTGCTTAACATAATTCAAGAGGCTTTTACAACCTGTGGTCATATTTGTCCTTGTTATACCATCTTATTCACCCCAACTGACCAATACTCGTCCCCTTGAACCTCTCCCTTCATATAACCCCGCACCAACCGAAAAGGGCGGTATAAGTGCATTTATGTCTATGATTGTCTAGCTTTCATGCAGGATTTTGTAAGCGGGCTGCCTGGCTTTATCGGAGGAGAAGAGGTAATAAGTCCTAGAGGCCTAGGAGCCGCAAATAGAGAAGGGATTCAGATATCGTAAATGTAAACACCGTATTTGCAGAGAGGGGGTGACTTATATAGAAACAGGGTCAGAGACACCACGCTCGAGAGTCCTTGCCTCCTCTTCTCCATCTAGTTCCCTTGTTCCCCCCTCCCCATCTAGTTGAAACACATCAGCGCCATCCAATTCCCTTTTCCCGCCCGTCTCCGTTCCGTCGATTTCACACTGGGCGTTATCTGCGTCCATCTCTACCCCACTGATAACCGCCTCAAAGCTTCCTGCACTGCCCTCGCTCCTTAGATCCAACTTCTTTCGTATCTTCCGTCGATAAATAACAGCCATTACAATCACTGCTGCAATAATCGGGACAGCCACGCCTACGCCAACACCCGCTCCAATAGCAATTTGATCCTGATCAGAAGCGGGGGGGTCAGTCGGAAACCCTATTTTCGTAACCGTCGCAACTATTACAGATAAAGAAATTGATGTGTGCGGTATTTTCGTCTTGGTTGAGCTTAAGGCGGTGAGCCTCGATGAGCTGCCGGGATTCGAATTTGATTTGTAGCAATAGTCACTCTTATTCGTCCCGCCATCTTTACAACTCCCATCTCCACAATAAACCTGAAATTCGATATCTCCATTCACTCCTCCCACACACCAAAAAAGCGAAGAGTTGACGTGCGTGAAGTCGTCGGGTTGGTTTTTTACGCGGAGCTCGTTGGGAATTCGTTGGTTGTAGGTGTCTGCATTTGGATTTTAGGCTAGGTACCGAGCAAATGGATGCGACATGCAGGCAGGGGGAGGTGAGCGTAGGTAGGTAGAAGAGAAGCGTACATACTTCCTCTATTAAGAAGGTTCCAGCCGCAGTAATCGATACCGTGCTTACAATTGTCTGCGACAGTAAGCTTGCTGAACATGCAAAACGCAACGAAGGTAGTGGAAAGGAATTTGGATGGCCCCATTCTTCCTCACTTTTATGAATGGTGGTGGAGGGGGAGTGAAACAACATAAAATAAGTAAACTAAAGCCGTACCGTAAGATGGAAACCTGACCCGTTGTCTTGGTGATGTGAGGGGCGAACCAAGGTAAGACAAGCACAGCGGCGGGTCGAAGTCCGGTGATCAAAGTCAAACGTACCGCAACCTGGCTTTTAGTGCAAGTTAGCAACTACAACATGCTATCGCATAACGTGGAACATAACTAGGGTTGGCTCTATCTATTAGAATTCTTACCGCCATTAGATAGAAGGTTAATATGATACCAATTACTGTCTTGAATTACCTCAGTTAAGTTATACTTGGGGTGAAAAAGGTGCAGTGGAAAAGTCTAGTGTTGAACTAGTGAGGTTCTAAAACTAGGATTCCGTTCTACAACTAGGATTCCGTTCCACGTTCCACGACTAGGATTACGTTCCACATTACACGACTAGGATTACGCTCCACGACTAGGATTATGTTCCACAACTCCATAGCCTCGCGATTTCAATTTCCGAAGTCCGTACTCGACTAACACCTTATTGGCGAAACATTGTTTGAACTCCCAGACTAGCCATCTCTTCCCAAACCAACTTTTTCTTCCAAGTTTCGCACCGAATGAGATTCAAGTCACGATGGCATACAGGCTAGCGTGAATCTAAGAGCCTTCAAATGAACCTTTAATCCTTGCTTCCTCTATTCAGTACCGGAAGAAGAGACCCCACTTATCTTGAAACAACCCCATCCCCCCACTATCTCTCTCTCTATCTAGTGCCCTGCCTAACCTACAACACTTCCTCCCATCCTTCCGATACTTGAACTCCACTTCACCAAGTATTCCCAACAATGGGACTATGCTCCCCGTGGCTGATCCTCAGGTTCTGGGACTCTAGGATGCGGAACACCACCCAACGTTCGTTCCGTTTGACTGCGCTGCTAAGCATAAACTCATCAGTATTGGACACCTTTATCATTCCTAGGATTTCTTTATGCTAGAGGATGAAGTAGCTGATGGCCTGTCTGTTAGAGTTCCCAAACCTCTTGTCAGCCACACCAATCTAAACAGACAATATTACGAGGAAGAGGCTATCTAGAAGAGCCTGGCCTTGCTTTGAACCTGCGCTGAAATTGGAACCAGTGCAGAAATTTAACACTGCTGGTTCGAAGTCTGGTGCGTCGCATGTCTTTCAGCATCTCTCCATTGACGGTATGGTTGATGATGAACAAAGGTTCAAAGCTAACCTCACCCCCTAATTAACTTGGATGATATCCGGCGCATTCCGAAGGTCTGGACGCAGTGCGGGAAATAAGGATTGTGGTATGTCGCCGCCATGTAATTCGGACTGAATTGCTCTTCGATGGTCATCGCTATGGGACGAGATGGATTGTTGGTACCATAAACTTCTGTGGTGTAGGGCTTTACGTGGTATATACTCTGTCAAAATAGTTTATGGCAAATTGTATATTGTTCTTATAACCTGATTCTCTTGTGGTGGATCCCGTGCAATGTACATCTACTTGACAATGGCGGGTCGTCGAGCGAGTAGTCACCGTGCGTGATTTAATAGAGGGCCCAGTCTCTGTCCTTCGGGACGTTGTGAGCATCAAGAGCATCATGCACTGTAATCCCGTGATCGCCCATCTCTCAAATATCATCGTCCAGCTGCTTCCGGAACACAGTCAAAGCGGCGGAGCTGGCTGGAGAGTCAAGGCGCATCTTCCATTTGACCACAAGCATAGATGCTTACCAGGGTCTGTGTAGTTAGCATCACTCCGATGGCAGCGGCGGGTTGGTTGTACAGGGCTCCTACCTCGGGGATGGCCGTAGGAAACATGCTTACTGTTAACGGTCCTTAGCACTTATATTCGTTCTGGTCTGCACCTGAGTCCCGTCTGGGGACTACTCTAGTGCGCGGCCCGTCAGTTGGTAGACGGCGACTCAGCGGCCAAGTTAGAGATCATGCCGGAGACACCCTTAGACTCGAGCTCTAAGCGAGAATTGTCCCGGAAGAACTTTCACTCGTCTTCTCTTGGCATCACTTAATTCACCGAAAACTGTCCACCCTCCAAATACTTCACCCCCCCACCTCCTTCAATACGCCCAAACTCTCTTCTCTCCACTCGCATCCCTAACCTCCCTTCTATTCATAACCCCATACGTAATTCTCAACCCCGCCGCCACTACTGCCACAAAAAAACTACACCCTGCACACACAAAGTTCCCTGTCGGATACCCATCTTTCGCCTCCCCTGCTTTCCATATCCACTGCGCGATAATCTGGCCAATTCCAGCGCTGGAATTATGCAGCGCGATGGCTAGCGGAATAGTCAGGAAACTGGGGGTATTGCACGTCACCCAGTTAGTCATAGCCGGGGCCGCGGGAAATGCCCCCGCAGCTGCGAGACAGAGGCAGCCATAGCGCTTGCCGTATGCGTCTGGAGGGAGGAGACCTGCAGTTAGCCAGCCGATGCCGCCGACGAGGGACGCGGTCGTGATATGCCAGCCTCGTGCGTCGAAGTGGTCGGCGGAGTACGACAGCGTGATAGCGACGCAAAATCCCACGACCCAGGGAGGGACTGTCAGGAGTTGGGCGTGAATGGATGTGTAGCCAAGGCCTGTGACGATGGTGGGGGTAAAGAAGGTAAAGGAGCCTTGGGGCACGACATCGGCGATGTAGGCGAGGTAGTGGGCGAGCATGCGCGGGCTGAAGAGAGTTTGGAAGATCTCTTCGTGGGAGGCGTGGGCTCGGTTGTAGCCACCTCCGCGGGACTCGAGGCGCGACACAGCGAAGTGTTTGTCGGAGGAGTTCAGCCATGTTGCGCGGGCTGGATAATCGGGGAGGCAGAACCAGAGGAGGAAAGCGCTGAGGACGGTGATTATACCCTAGATACGAACAAAAGTCAGCCTGATTCCATCCATTCCCACTCTTCCATCCTCTACCACCGATATCCAACTTATAGGCAGGTGTACTCGCCAGGAAAAAACCCCGCCTCAAAAACCCCAATAAAAAATCTCAACACGACCACACTGGCATAACTCTTCACCCCAGCAAACCCCATCGTCAGTACCCCCCAACAAAATAGCAAAAACCCTAACCACATCGACGGCCTTACATAATGCTTCATCACCCAGTTACTCGGGACCTCGAACAGGGTATATGCGAGCGAGAAAAGTGTGACGGTGAGTGCGTAGTTGTTGGACGTCATGTGTGTCTGCTGTAATAGGTCGTCTCTCGTTTCGGCATTCAGAACTTTAGAGTTGCCGATGTTACCCCTGTCGAGGAAGTTTAGGAGGTAGACCTAGCAGCAGAGGGGGAGGATGCGGATATCGAGGCGGCGGTTTAGGAGAAGGTTGCGTTTGGGGTCATGGAGGTCGATGTCGATGTCGGCAGCGTGGTCTTCGGGTGGTGGTGGGCTGGAAACAGCGCCATGGTCTTTCTCGATGGCAGATAAGGGTTTGTGCTCATGGTATTCGATTGGGGAGGGTTTTTTGTCCATGGCCGATAGGGAATAGGACCAAGTCGTTCTGCTGTGCTTGAGTCTTGAGTGCCCAGTAATGAAGATGGCAGTAATAATCTAAGCTTTAAGAAAGAAGGATAATTCTTCTGATCCTAAACGACCCATTCATCTCTGTGATCGAGTCAGTAACCATCTACCAGCGTCTTTCCCGAAACGCGGGGTAGATATTCCCTCGTCATTCAGTTGGTGAGAGCCGTTGCGGAACCGATAGAAATGCTAGCACTTCTCTAAGGGGCGAGCGGGGACGATCAGCGATTGCATGGGATAGTGTTGTCGGGACCGGGTTAATTGTTTCCGAGCAGCTACCTCTCCCCATGATTCCGAGGACCGTTCCGATGAATGCAACTCGACCTTTGGAGCATGGACCCATCCATCTTTGAATTTCGGAATGCTCTTCAGGCTGATAATGAAGGGTGATATCGGGACTATGGAAAGTGAATATAGCGCTATACCCATCATGTCGACTCCAGGGAAGCTAGAAATAAGAGTAGGATATTCATCTAAGCCTTTGTAAGATTTAGCGTGTCAACTGAACGACTGCTGAAGGGTTCGTGATCCCTGCAGAGCCAATCCATAGCCGGGGAACCCCGAATGCCATCTGCATTCCCCCCATCAGCAACCTTCCTACATCTTCTCTCCTAATCACCTGATCTTCTCGGCCTCCCCGAAACCCTCACCTCCCCAAGCCCATACTCCTCCGCCAGCACCTCAGCCGCGATTTCACCCAAAACATACGCCGTACTCTGCGTATGCGCATTTATGATAAATGGACAAACACCTAGATCCACAACTCGACATCCCTCCAATCCAAAGACCCTAAACCGATGATCTACAACTGCCTTTTGGGGATTTAAGCCCATACACGTCGTACTAGACATATGCCACGAACTCCGCAAATTCGACCTGACATACTCTAGAATTGCTTCGTCGGAATTGTCTTTTGGCCCAAGCAACCGAATCGTTCGTGAAAAGTAAATTGGCGCAGAAAGGATGCGGATAGTTTCACGCATACCCTCTACTAGAACGCGCCGGTCGAATGGATGAGAGAGAAACTTTGGATCGATTATCGGGGCATCGGATGGGCTCGCAGAGCGCAGAGTCACAGAGCCACGGGACTGGGGGTTCAATAAGAGACAAATGGCGCCGAAATATGTTGTGTCGGGAGCTGGCGTGTACTCAAGGAAGGCGTTTGGGGAATGTGTGGCGATTTCCATAGCGGGGATGGTGGGCTTATGCATGTGCTGTTGTATTCGGGTGGGGAGGGCTTGGAATTCGGGAGAGGTTGTTACGCTGGGTAGTTTGAACCAGCCCATCGGTGTGGGGCTTTGAGAGGGAGGTCCTGGTGGAAGGAATGGGTCTTCATTTAGGACCGTGCCAGCCGCCGAGAAGCAGTGGTCTTGCAGGTTCTGGCCGACCATTGGTAGATGCTGGATTATTGGGATCTTGTGCTTCTTCAACTCCTCTGCGGGACCCACACCGGAGAGCATAAGAATCTGGGGACTGTTTAAAGCCCCGCCAGATATGATGACCTCCTTTCGAGCATGCAGCTTCACGCCGTTAATGATTTCCACACCAGCGGCTCGGTTTCCGACGAACAGCAACCGCGCCACAAGGGCATTGGTGAGTATCTTCAGATTTGGTGGAGGATGAGAGAGGTAGGCGCTTGCAGATGTCGCCCGCACGCCATCAGCAATGCATACACTAGCCATGCCAAAGCCGATAGGATCGCCGGAGTTAACGTCGGGATTCAGACGATGGCCGCACTGGCTGGCTGCGATGAATATATCACCAACATCCGGAAGCCACTGTTCGCCATATGCAAGATCGAGGTTCCCAGACGCACTGTGAGTCTCAATCCTTGCATCCACAAATTTCCTCATACTCCTGTTGGGAATGGCGGTCTTTAGGTTTTCGATCCTCTTTAACATTCTCCTCACGTTCTGCCACCCAAATCTCTCATCCCCCACCATCGAAGCCCACTCATCATAGTCATCTCTCGGTCCAACAGTCCAACCGCAGAAGTTGATTGCTGTGCTTCCTCCAAGTCCTTTGCCGCGCGAGTAGTCAATCCGCTGCCCTGCAGCATGGGTTTGTGGGGTTGTTTTGTAGCCCCAATTGAGCGGGGAATTCAGTGCGAACGCGACGTTAAAACGTTCGGCTCCGGAGAGATGAACAGCTTCTGCGTTAGAGGATCCAGCTTCAACAAGGAGGATGCTAGGTGCGGTGGGCGTGTGCGCGAGGCGGGATGCTAGGACCGCACCAGAGGCGCCAGCTGAACGAGCTTCCGTCAGGATGTCATATTATCGCATACAGAGTAGCATACGAAGGAAGTCGAGGATAGGGAACGGAAGTTGGAGAGGAAAGCTCGAAGCCTACCTCCGACAACAATGAAGTCGTATGTCTGTGCCATTGCGAGCTCCGACTGTTTGCTAAAGCTACAACTACCCCTCAAAAGAGCATATAAAAGGGCTCGCTACTATATTGAACCGAACAAATGGTCGCGACTCTAGGATGAATGCAGGAAGTGGAGTGAGCTGTAATCATATTGCTCAATCTGGACAAGGTACGAGGGATCGCCCAATCACCTAGTCACAAGACCGCACGGGCTGAGTGCTACAATTCTCAAAGAGAGGAAACCGTAATTGAGACATGGAAATGGCAAGAGACAAATGACGGTGTTACGCCGATGACTGAATTGTTGATGCAGGTAGACCCAAGAAAAGGATCGCGTCCAAACTCCCGGGTGCGGCTGCACAAATCCCCGCTCGTTTGTGAGCTTCTGCCCGTCACAATTCCTCCCACTGCTCCCCTCACTATCTCCTCGCCTCTTCTCTGCATTATTCAACTGCAGGCATGTATCAATCCCATCTTAGCGGCCGCCGTGAGGCAAGGGTCTGGCCAAACATGGACCCTTGATATAGTTGATGGGGGGGACAAACCGGGCTCGTTGGGTATTGTTCTGCAAGCCTATGGTTAACACTCACCATACGTGCTCGTGCATCCTTATCTACGTCTGAGATGTTATGTTTTGGAATAAGATGGACGCTTGCCCAGGCTATTTGACAAACCTCGGCACCATCTAAACGTCTCTCTCCTTAATTCGCCACAATTACGATGGACGTCTCGTCGGTCCTCAGGAAGATCGAAGTGAAGCCGACCGATGATGAGTACGAAGCCATTGACACAAGTCGATGGGGAAATAGGGACGTGTATCCGATTCCACATGACAAACGAACATATGGTGTATACGCGTTTGTGAGTTACTGGGGTACGCATCCTCTCTAAGACCACATGAAAGCAGTAATTAACCAACTTCCTAGGCACCTGTGGCGTTTGCCTTTCATCCTGGACCATCGGAAGCAGTTTAATTGGTATCGGCTTGACAGCTGCACAGGCTATGGCTGCTGTGGTAGGTTCCAGCATTCGATACTAATAGAGATGAATACTAATTGATCAAGACCGTCGGCATGGCCATTGCTTGCGGTAACGCTTATCTGAACGGCACTCCTGGGGCAAAACATCATCTTGGATACGGAATGCTGGCTCGATCGGCTTTCGGCCTTTGGGGGTCGTACTTTTGTATTATGTTGAACGTCTTTCAGTCGTTCGTCTTTTATGTAAGTATCTACGCTGGACGCCCATCAGCTCATGTCTTATGGATTTGCAGGGAACTCAGATGTACTTTGGCGGGCAAGCATTTGTTTTAATTCTTAACTCAATTTTTCCCAGCTTCCTGCGCATGAAGAACACATTGCCTGAAAGGTACTGTTAACATCATCGAAATCTCTGAACAGAATCTAATCAGGGAGGCAGCGCCGGCATCACGACTCCAGGGCTCATCGGATTTGTTCTATTCATGATCATGTACTTCCCAATCATTTACTTCGTCCCAGCGTGGAAGGTCCAGAAGCTTCTCGAAGTGCAGGTTGTTATCGCAACTGCCACGCTCCTTGGTATTATGGGATGGGCTGTAGCTGTACGTTCAGTTCTCTAACTTTCCCGAGATTCCCCCTTTGACAGGTCCATGCAGGAAAACGGAGGCAGTCCTGGAAATCTAGTTGCTCCTGCAATCAAGCTCTCTAAAGCCGAAGCCGGATTCCGAGTCATCCAAGGCATTACTAGTGTAGCTGGAACCTACACCGGCGGGTCCGATCGTGTCTCAGATTGGACCCGTTACGGAAGGAGACGACACACCTCCACGCCCGCCATCATCACGCTGGCCGTTACCGTTATCCTCACCGCCCTCGTTGGTATCATCTCCACCTCCGCGCTCGCCGAACGATACGGCCTGCTAGAATGGAATCCCCTCATCATGCTCCAGTGGATCCAACAAACCTCCTACACCCCCAAATGCCGCGCCGGCACCTTCTTTGCCGGTGTCGGCCTCCTATCCGTTACTACCTTCGTCAATTACACGCAAAACTGCGTGTCCTCTGGCATGGACGTCGCTATGCTTTTCCCACGCTACATCTCACAGCGCCGTGGCGCCATTATCTTCAGCATCTTGGGCGTGCTCGCAAATCCCTGGCGTTTCTTGACACAAGCTGAGACATTTATTACTGTGTTGAGTAGTTTCGGTGTGTTCATGAGTCCGGCAGCGGCGATTTTGATTGTCGATTTCTGGATCGTGAGACGCCAGAAATGGAATATCCCCGAGTTGTACATTCCCGGTGGAACGTATTGGTTCACAGCGGGCGTCAACTGGCGGGCTTTCATTGCGTATTTTCTAGGTATGTGGCCGGCGCTTCCGGGCTTCGTGAACGCGGTATCAAGTCTTGAGGTCGATGTCGTTTGGCGGCGGTTCTACCAGATCAGTTTTTTCTTTGGGTATTTGGTTTCAGCTATTCTATTTTATATTTTTAATAGGATTTCGCCGCCGCCGGGGCTTGGAGTGCAGGTTAGTTTTCATGTGGATGGGACAAGGATTCTGGAGGAGATGCCGGAGGGGATGAAGGAAGAGGGTTTGGAGAAGGGGGTTGAGGTTGGGGTTGAGAAGGTTTCTGGATCCTGACGACAGGGGCTAGATAAAGATAGTCTTGGTAAAAATAGAATTATAGGTGTTGGATATGTTGAAGAGCATATTATATTGTAATCCTCACCTCTTCGTTCCACTACGCCAGCCCATGAACTTGGAGACCCTTCCTAGGATCTGTTCATCCTGGAGTCCCGATCACTTTGCTTGCTTTGGAGCATCATTCACAATCACAATCTCCGACCCCAACCTTCAAGACCAACAGCTACCTACCTACTCTGAGTCCGCTCTTCACACCTTCTCCTTACCACGCATTACACCCCACACCGAAAATCCACCCTCACAGTCCGTTCCTTACCACGTGCCAGAATTATCGTACCACCATGCACCTTGCCGCAGCCACCACAACTCTCCACAATTATCCCTCCGCAACCGCCCATCTCTTCCCCATCCATCGCATCCTGCATCCGCGCGCAGAATACCCGCAACCACGCAACCGACATGCACCCGAAGCCCAAAACATCCCGTGCTCGGATGTAAGCACCCAATCTAGCCAGCGGGAGAATTTATCGGTGGAGGTCGGCAAGACTCGGTAGGTAAAGTTGGGTAACCCCACCAGAGCTACCCCTCTGTGATTTGTGGTTGCAAGGTATTTGGAGCTCAGTTGTAGATGGAGTGGGAATAGCCGCCTGCAGAAGCTCTGTTAGTTGATATACACGTACATTAAAAATATCATATTTGAATAGCTCCAGGGCGTTCTGAGTTTTGAGCCTCATGCTACTTGATTCTCCAGCATTTTAAGCTCCCTAAAGCTATTCCCCTCCACTTCCGGTGCGCTCTAGACAAAATGGCGACGCCAGTGACAATGAAAATGCCAATTGAAGCCCAAATGCTCATCAACAACAACCTCGTGCCCGCAAGCGATGGTGGGACGTTTGATTTGTATTCTCCTCATACAGGGGAGCTTGTTGCAAAAGGTCCGTCCATCCATATAATAACCGACTTTCTCTCAATCTTCCTCAACCATCTCTGCCTGGCCATAATCCAGCTAGTCCGGAGTTCCAAGTCTAACATTCACAACAGTCCCCGAAGCCACTGCTGAAGACGTAGACACTGCCGTCTCAGCGGCCTCCGCGGCCTTCCCCTCATGGAGTTCACTTTCCCCAGCCCAGCGTGGCGCTCCATTAAAAAAGTTGGCAGACTTAGTGTTAGAAAAGAAGGATTCTCTCGCTTCCCTAGACGCCCTCTCCATGGGCCGTCCCACAAGCTCCTACTTCGACGCCTCGTACGCCGCCACACATTTCAACTACTTCGCCGAAGCCGCATATCCGCAAGGCCATACTTCACTCAACACCCCCGGATTCTTGAATATGAGTGTCAGACAGCCGTTTGGTGTCGTGGCGATTATTATCCCGTGGAATGCGCCGCTGGTATTCTTTAGTAAGAAAGTAGCGCCTGCGGTAGCGGCAGGGAATTGCGTGGTTGTTAAGGGGAGTGAGAAAGCACCGTTGACGGTATGTAAGTTTACTCTTTTTAGAGATTTTAGGGGAATTTAGGTAAGGTATGGGGTGTGTGGACAGAACAATGGAAGTTGTTTAACGTGACCTATCTTACTCTGCTCTGGAAGCAGAGAAGTCGATAAACGCCTCCATCGCTAACCTTTACTAACGCCCTCACTCTAGTGCTACCTCCTCTCCCAACTCATCCCAACTTGCAACTTTCCCCCGGGCGTCATAAACGTCCTTTCCGGCCACGGCCACACCTCCGGCTCGCTGCTCGCGCACCACATGCGCATCCGCGCGCTCTCCTTCACCGGCTCTACTCGCACCGGCCGCGCTATCCAAATCGCCTCTGCTAATTCTAACCTCAAAAAGGTTGTCTTCGAGCTCGGCGGAAAATCCCCAGCCCTCGTCTTCCCAGACGCGGACATTGAGCAAGCAGCTAGGGAGACGGAGAATAGTATTAATTGGAACTCCGGGCAGACGTGCATGGCGAATAGCCGTGTGTATGTGCATGAGAGTATAAAGGAGGAGTTTATGGAGAAGTTTAAGGGGTTTGCGAGGAGGAGGAGGCTGGGAGATCCGATGGATCCCGAGGTTAATCATGGGCCGCAGGCCGATAGGTTGCAGTTTGATGCTGTAAAGAGGTATATTAAGATGGGGAAGGAGGCGGGCGGGGAGGTTATTGATACTGGGGCGGGGGCTGAGGCTGAGGGTGGAATTGGCGGTGCTGTGGAAGTAGATGAAGATAGGAAGGCAGGGGGTAAATCCCTACTCATCCACCCGGTCATATTCGCCAACATCCCCGAAACGTCACCCCTAACCAAGGAAGAAATTTTCGGTCCCGTCGTCGTCATAAACACTTTCGCTACAGAAGACGAAGTCATTACCAAAGCCAACGACACGGAATTTGGGCTCTATGCCGCGCTGTACACGAAAGATGTTGAGCGGGCGATACGGGTGGGTAAGAAGCTGGAAAGCGGGATGGTGGGGATTAATTGCACCAGTCCGACGGGGTGTTGGGATTTGCCGTTTGGAGGTTGGAAGGGGAGTGGGACGGGCAGGGAGAGCCTGCTGGACAGTATGGAGCATTATTTGGAGGTAAAGAGTTTGTATTTTAGGACACCTGGGATTGGGGGATAGGGAGGGTCGATATTTGCCCTAAGTGATGTATATGCTGGAGTGATCGAATCTATGCCGAAGACTTGCTGTCCTGTCTCTGTACAGTTCACTGAGTTTATTTGCTCCCTCTCCTTCCTCACATGCCCCCTGTTGATAACGAGACGTGTGACTTGACTTTGCTAAAGTATGAGTGCATTAGCGTGCAAAAAGCACTGGAAGAGGCTTGCCGTGTGAAACGATACTCGATACTTGTACCCCGTTCAGCCACAATCTCGCTTCCAGATCCAGACTATCGGGACCCTTTAGGACACTTCGAAGCTTGTTCTCACGTCTAAGGACTGGATGGCTCAGAGATAAGGCGAGCGCAGGGGAGGGGCAAAGGGGAGCTCTTTCGGCAGATTGCTGCCGAAGCGCGGCGGGCATATCCGTCAGAATGCAACTAGCGCAGAGCTTTGGTCCACGAGAAGAGAAGCATTGCGACACCCGATAGCTGTGGGGAAACGTAGTGTGCGATAGTGGGTACATTGGATCAGAGTTGGTGGGCATAACGATCTAAGCATACCCAATTCAGGCTAGTGAGAATAACAGTGACTACTTTGATAATAAAAAAAGATTGTTCGAGAAAAAAAAAGGCAAATAGAACAAACAAACCCTTCATTACCAGCATAGCACAATTAACGACACACTCAGACGCCATTCTACCACTTCTCCCCGCGTGGCACCTTCGAGGTAATCATTCCTTCGACGAACGTCCCCGTCGAGCCGAATACTCCCAAATGATGGTGCTAGGCATCTCATGGCATAGCGGCCGCATTATGATCCACAACCCTAGCCTCGACAGCGACGAGGCCTGCGACCAATTCATGATCGACCTGAGAAAGGAGATTAGGACTGCAGTCGCTGGCGTCACGACCGTGGATCTAGATTCCCATGTCCTGGGAATAAGCTCGGAGACTTTCAGGGGAGGAAAGGAAGGTGCGAGCCAAGTTTGAGAAGCTGATGAAGGAGCTTTTGGGTGGGTTAGATGTTGTGACTGGTGCGCAAGCATGCGGTGCGGCCATTGGAAAAAATGGGCGCGAAGAGGATTGGGGTTATTACTCCTTACCAAACGGTAGGAGATGGGCAGGTCCACGCATATCTCATGGGAGTGGGGTTTGATGTCGCCAATGTTTATGGATTAAAGTGTTCGACAGCCAAGCCAGTTGCGAAGATCAAACCAGAGACGCTGAAGGAGGCATTCCTGAAAGTGAATAGGGCGGATGTTGAGGCACTGGTGCAGGCGGGGACGAATCTGTTCTGTGCAAAAGTGACGGCAGAGATGGAGGTAGAGTTGGAGAAGCCAATTGTTGCTATCAATGCTGCGCGACAGTATGGCACGCATACAGGTCGCACGGTATCGCGGACTAGACCAAGGGATTTGGGTGCTCGTTGGAGAAGCACTCGGAGTGGATGATACAGCTTCTCTGGCAAGTAGCCGGTGGTGGGGGAGGTTGGTTCGCCAAGCCAAATACTCTTAGCATAGGGCTGTGAATTAATTCAAACGCATGACTCGCCACACGCCTGGTGCTTCAAGACCCTGCAGTCAGCTGGAATCACGCTGTTACTGTGTACGCGTACCCAACAGTAACAGCAGCCAACCTTCAGTCGTCAGCTTCGCACCTCAAATGCCCTCGCGCTGCACTCGCCATGCCTCGGCCCGCGTCGTGAATGATGATTTCCACGCCGACCACCAACAGCTCCTCCCGCCGAGTGCCGCTTGACAAGCGGAAGCGCACCGAGACCAGCTGCGACAAGTGCAAGTCGCGGAAGCAGAAATGTCGCAAAGAGCCCGGCCAGGAGTCGTGTCGGTACTGTGTCCTCCACAACATCGACTGCCTCACGACGCAGCCTCGGAAGAAGCGGCTATATGGCAGCGTGGAGGGGCTGGGAAACCGACTGGCGTTGCTGGAGGCGCTGGTCAAGGGCCTGCTGCCGGAAGCAGATGTCTCGAACATGGACAAGATGCGACAATTGGGGAGTTCACTGGGCATCCCATTGCCAGACTCGGCAGGTGGAGGTGATGCAAATGGGGATCACAGCCAGAGTAGCAGCGGGAACGAGGCCGAGGAGCACCTTCCTCTACTACCAGACCAGCAAGGCCAGGTACAATACATTGGGCCCGCGAGCTCCTTCTCGTTTCATCTCAAGCTCACCACGCTCGTCGGGCGGGGGGCCATCCGCGAATTCGTGCTTTTTGGCCGCAATGCAGCTGACCAGGAGCCATTGGATGGCGATGCTGATCCCCATGCTCTCTCCACGCCCAGCGCGACGTCCAACATTGACCATAATTCGCCCGCCGACCAGCGCGCTCCGAATGGCGAGGCACCGAGCCTGGAGTCCTTGATTACTGCCTACTTCCACCACATCAACCCCGACTTTCCGGTGCTTCACGAGGCGCCCTTCCGAGAGGCATACGAAGCCTGGCTGCTGGCTCCAGCTGAGGCCGACCCAGCATGGCTCTGTAGTTTCCTGTGTGTGCTTCTGCTCTCTCGCCGTGTCGCCCGCATCACCTTCCAAGAAGAGCAGGAGCGGCTGTGGTGGCGCCGCGTGCAGACGCTGCTTCCTGTTGTGATATTTACCTCGAGTGTCGCTGCCGTGCAGGCGCTGATGCTTGCCGCGATTCATCTCCACAACACCAACCATCGTGACGCGTGCTGGAACCTGACTGGGACTGCGGTTCGCATCGCATTCGCTATAGGGCTGCACCAAGACAAGGTCAACACAATGCAGACTTCACTGACGCGAGAATTGAGGAAGCGGTTGTGGTGGACCCTCTACGCGTTCGAGCAGATGCAAGTGTCTTCCTACGACCGTCCAAGTGCTATCGAGTATCCTGGCTCTAGGATTGGATGTCCAAATGAGCGCATCATTGGCATGGCAGGATACTGTCCTCCCGACTACACAAATTGGTTTAATCGTCTTGTCGTGCATCTTGGCTCCGCCTGCCGTGCACCGAAGAACACAAAAGCAAGCGCTAGCGAGGAGTCATATGTCGGACCACTTTCCCCCGCAGCTGGAGTACTCCGAGATCTAGACCGGTGGAAAGAGAGCCTTCCTACCCATCTTCGAGTCGAGAGTGCCGACGCTTCGTCGCCTGCATTTCAGCGTCCGCTCCTTTTGCTCCATGGCATGTATCATTACACAGTCGTGGTGCTCTGTCGCGCTGCACTCCTGGCCCGGGCGACGTCGCTATCCAAAGAGGGGAAAGATTCAAACAACACTGCGCTGACTGGAATGTCCGACGTATGTGTCGCATCCGGTCGCTCGCTGGCCAATGTTATATTGAAGCTGGAGGCCAAAGGGAGATTCGATGCTATCACGTGGTGGGATATCTGGTATGGACTAACATGTGCCTCAGTCCTTGTGCTGGACCTGGTATGCACAACTAAGCAAGAGCGCAATGACCTCTCTGAGTCTCGAATACTACTTTCACAGCTCGCGGAACTAGCGACGAGACATCTACGTAATCCGCATATGCCTGGCACGATCGAGAAATGGGCTTCACTAATCGTGGAGCTTCACTCCATGGCAGATACAATGAACACGATATCACCCCCTTCAAAAGTTGAAACTCAGGCGGAGCCCAGAATAGACCCGGCGCCTCCACACCAACCGCCTCAGACACATCAGGAAGTGTCATATCCATTCCAGTCTACAACAAACAGTGGAGCGTATATGTTCGGGGGAGAAGCTGTTGCTGGTAGGTACTTCCCAGAGTCCGAATTTACGGGCTCGTTTCCGGGTCCTCGGTTCGACAGGGGCACCCAAATGTCATTTATGGATTTCACGATAAACAATATCCAGGATTGGAACTGGGGCGATCTGGGGAGTTTGTTGGGAAACGAGGGAACAGGTCATGCAGGGTGTTGAGGTGTTCGTAAATTATTAAAAAAATTTTTTTTTTTTTGGCTGAAATCAACTCCTAGGTGTCGGGAATTGGGAGGACACCTACTTGCGTGGAATTATTACTATTTGAGGTTCAGTGCCTCACCGCGTTTCAGCCCATGACTTTGTCATGTTCTTCACCCTTTCCGAATCACGCCTTTGTTGCATCCCTATTTGACGCCATGGTCCGCATACATCCCGTCCTTCCTCAAGCTGGGGAGCGACAGGTAGTCTATACCGAACATCAGCCTGTCAATACTTATAGCACCTGCCGCTCCTTTCAAAGGAATATTGTCGAAGAAGATGCCATCCATGTATATGTTCTTCTCTAGCACCTCCCATATAGGCTTCCTTGCCGCATTTGGTCGACCCCTGCGTTTCTCATTCGCGGTCCTGCTCAATACATGCCTCGATTCGACGTGCAATGAACGATAGCATACCGCCGGCATGAGATAGGATTGCCTTCAAGTCAGGTATTTTGTTGAAGATCAGCTACGAAAATGGGCGACATGGGAATCGTCCTCTTCGTGGTGAATTCCAACGATACCCGAGAGCCTGTCCACGGTTTCTATAACAAGGTCCAAATACACTGTCCGCCAACCCGTAATTCGGGATGAAGGAATACTGGTATACTCTTGTCAGCGATTGCTTGCAGCATTGGCTATACTTCAGGAAGATCGAGACCCCAGCCAAAATAGTTGTAGCTTATCACTATTCCACGCACTAAGAGGTATTTCTTCAAGTATTTAACCTCGATCATCGCGCTCGTCGACAATGTAGCGGAGAAAAACAACTATCCGGGATAATGATCATGCAAGCCTTGCATCTCCTCTCGCATTTTCCGCGCAACCTTTTTCGTGCCTTGTGCCAGCAAGAAATCCAATCATGGATTTCCAAGCGAAGGATGGAGGGGTAAATGCCGTGTTTGCCCATGAAAGCGATTTAGTGGAAATATCTTGGAGATTGGGGAGAAGTGGCTTTCCGGATAGGCCAACGCGGTTGATGATGGGGAGTCGCCTAGGGGAGGGGAGGTTGTGGTGCAAGGGGCTGTAGTCGGCGAGTGGACGAGGAAGATCCAAGAAGGTGGTAGAGATACGAATAGATGTCCACGACCGGTGTTTTGTCGCCATGATAGATAGGTACTTCGGCTCTGTGCCGAGTTCACAAGAACTAAAATCTCACGAAGGCTGGGATTACTCTGAAAATCAGTCGAACTAGTTCCGATACGATATTCCGACTTTCCGATCATCGATCTCTTCGCAGAGCGGCTTCCTGCAGAATCGGCCGCTAGATCCGTCTTTCACAATCTTCCCTGAATCTCGTATCGTTCTGATTGGCCCCTTCCTCGAGCCCGAATATCTGATTGGTGCGCAACGGCCCCCCGATCTTCAAACCTAACTTTCTTACTTTACGAACTCTTGCTTTTTCGTATTCCGAACTCAATATCCTTCAATGTCGTTCGCTAATAAAGCCATGCCCGAGGCTGTTCCTCCCCATCGCTTAGGCTGCATGGAGCCCGGACACCACACTTCACCTATCCCAGGTAGTGCTCAGCTGGTCGCAGTCGAAGATCAGAGAGTCGTTCGGATGCACGCAGCCGCGGTGGATTCCCCTCATCCGATAGGATCATTTCACCCACGAGCCCATTGCCACTGCCATTTGAGCCGCCCAAACCGTAGACCATGTACATGGATAGCCTCGCCAGTTTCAGGGTTCCGTTGTAGCGGGATTGTTTTGTGATAATCTTGGATTCTGCGGCTGTCGTTCGTTGATCAATAATAATACGTGGTGTTTCCTTTTCAACCGACCGATCGACATGGAAATAGCATTTACCCGTTTTCTTGGTTCTGTTTTATCGTCTGCAACGTTGTTGCTTTGGTCGTTGCATTTGTATTTGCATACTTTGCTGCTGCTGCCCTAGACTGGACCTGGTCTCAATATCCAAGTCCAAGTCCAACGTGATGACGACAGACATAGCCACTAACTCCTCCTCCTCCCTCAACATCGCCATCATCGGCGCCGGGATCGGCGGCCTAGGCTTCGCAATCGGCCTCTCCCACCTCTCGATCCCCTTCACTATCTACGAATCCGCGCCCGCCTTCAGCGCTGTTGGCGCGGGTGTAGGCCTCGGTCCCAATGCCCTCCGCGCTATGGATCTCATTGACACCCATTTCCGCGACGCCTACATGAACATTGCAACCGGCAACCTGCGGCCGGAAAAACGCCACGTGATGATGGAAGCAATGCGCATGGAAGAAGGATTTGGCGAGGGGGAAGACTGGTTTGGGAATGGACGTGGGGAGTGGGGCGGGAGGGGTTTTGAACGTACAGGTGCGCATAGGAAGGACTTGTTGGATATTATGACAGGGTTTATTGATGGGGAAAAGGTGAGGTTTCGTAAGAGAGTGGTTCGTATGACGCAGAGAGATGGAGAAGTCACCCTCACTTTTGACGACGGGGATATCGCCGTCCATGACGCTGTCGTCGCATGTGATGGCGTCAAAGGATCTTCCCGCCGCGTTGTCCTCGGCGATAGATTCCCGGAGGCTGTGGAACCCGTATATACGGGTAAATACGTCTATCGCGCTATCCTCCCTATGCAAGACGCAAAGAGCATTTTGGGCGATTTGGCGACGGATGCGAAGATGTTTATGGCGAAGGACGCGAATGTGTCGACGTATCCGATTAGCGAGGGGAGGGAGATGAACGTGGTAGCGTTTAAGAGGGATGAGGGGGAGTGGAGGGGGAAGGAATTTACGGTTGAGGTTGAGAGGGAGGAGATGGTGGGGGATTTTAGGGGGCTGAGGGAGGGGAAGGGGAAGAGGAAGAGGGTGGATGAAAAGCTAGTGAGGTTATTGGATGTGAGTGGCTTTTCGATGATTTTGTGTTTCCTAGTCTCTCTAGTCTGTGTCTCCTTAGAACCGTATTGCACATGTCGTGTGAAGAGACCTGATTATATCTGGGACAATATCTCCTTTCTAATCCCCAATCCCCCTCTCCAGCATCCCCCCTCTCAACTCCCCAATCCCATTCCCATATCTCTTATCCACCTCTCCTTCCAACCCAACTTTCCTCAATCCTTCCTCCCTTTCCTCTCCCTCCGACCCTCACTAACACCCCACTAACCCACCCACCGTAGTACGCCCAACCTCTCCGCTGGGGAATATTCCACCACCCCCACACCCCCACCTATTACTCCTCTCTAATCTGCCTCCTCGGCGACGTCGCACACGCCAGCGGCCCCCACCAAGGAGCAGGCGCAGGCCAATGTCTAGAAGACGCGCTCATCCTATCCCGAGTATTAGGGAAACTAGTTTCCTCAACTCCCTCCAATATCTTAACGCCTTCATCGCCAGACCAGAAGCTAGAAAGGGCGAGGATCATCAAAGTAGCGTTTCAGGCTTACGATGAGATCCGTCGACCCCGAGCCCAGGAACAGGTTAGGACTACGAATGAGTGTGGCGAGATTTATAACTTGCGGTTGGGCGAGGAGATCCCTGATAGAGATGGAGATGGCGATATAGTTGCTGCTGTTAGGAATTTAAAGGGGAGGTTTCGGTGGATTTGGGAGCATGATTTGGAGGGTGATGTTCGGAAGGTGGAAAGTAGGTGGGGAGAGTTAGTAGGGGAGATAAGAGGGGGAGTGAACAAAAGAAGTCTTAGTGGAGGGGAGGCAGCGAGAAAGGAGAAGGAGATGAGGGTGAATGGGGGAGTGAAAGTTGGAAGCGGGAACAGGGTGCATGAGGTAGCGAGATAAGCGGAGCAATATTTCCGAGGAATAAAGCACCCTTAACTTGGTGTTATTTAGGTCTTAGACTGAGAACAGAAGAGAAGACAAGATGGCGAAGGTTGAGGTATTAGTGGGGCTTTGACATATATGGGGTACTTTCTTAAAGGTGGCTGTTTTTATCAGATAATCCGTGTGCGGGGTTCCAGGTATTTCTTACTTCAATTTGGTCTTATGTTTCATTTTTATGTGGTTGGGGCAATTTCCTCTCTTGCTTAGTCCTCGGAATCATATTTATTTATTATTCAGACTAGGCTCTCGTTAGTAAGGTAACAGCTCCACTGATGAGGTTTTTACTCTGTTATAATAGCAGCTTATCTATGTTAAGTGATGGGCTCAATGGTAAGCGATGAGAGAATAGAACACCAGCAAATTGTAAGATCACAAGTCCAAGAAACCATGATAGCGAACGTAAGAGGTATCAATTTGCAACATCTTGCATCTTCACTATGCATGCACAGATAAACGCAGCAATGTATACCGACAAACCACCCATCTAGCACGCCACTCTAGCCTCCCCAACACCGAAAACACCTTCCAAGCAAGCACTCCCAGTTTCCTGAGGAATACATAGCCTGAGGATCTATTAGATCTTTCCGCCGGTAATCTTCCCCACAAAACTCTTCTTCCTCTCCCCCTCGGCGCCCTCCGTCTGACCCGCCACAATACTGGCCCTCCTAACTGTCTCCTGAAACTCCTGGTCGCCCTCCACATGACCCTCAAAGCTCCACAGCGCCGGACAATCCCCTACCTTCTTCCTCAACAAATACGTCTTAATCCACCAGGGCAACACCGTTCCACACTGATGTTTCATAAACCGCCTTGTCGGGATCGCGAAAATATAATCCAGCTCCTCGAGAGTGCGTTGTTTAGTTTCGGGCACGAACAGGAAGATCATGACAAGCGCGACGAGGTTAAGACCTGCATAGAAGCCGAATGCTCCGGTGGGTGACATAGCGGCGAGCATACGTGGGAAGGTTATGGATAGAACGGCTGCCCAGAAGAGGCAGGTGGCAACGGCCCAGGACATTCCGACTTCGCGGTGGGAGAGGGGGAAGACTTCGGCGCTGTAGGTGAAGGGAACAGGGCCTTCGCCGGGGGAGTAGAAGGCAGCGAACTAGGTACGGGTTAGGAGCTGATAGAGGTGATTGTGGGGGGCCTTTGGGGACGTACTAGGTAGATGAAGAAGGCGACGAGACCTAAATGCGCATTGCTGGATTCCGGGATTAGGTAGCAAAGACCTGCTGCAAGTAAGGTCCAGCACATTTGTGGGAATGTGAATAGAAGCAGGGATCGTCTATGTGAACGGTTAGTGCAGGCCATTGGGAAAAAGGGGGTTCAGCACATACCGTCCGAAGGTATCAATTGTCCAGATGGCCGGCCAGGCGAAAACGAAATTAACTAGACCGAAACCCCAAGAAGCTAAGAGCGAATTCGTAACGCTAGCGCCGGCCTGTTCGAAGACAGTGGAGGAGTAGAAGGCGATAATGTTAACTACCAAATATCAGCTTCAAAGTCTTACGTTCGAGGTGGTAAAGGTGGCGTACTTCCGCACATCTGTTGAGCCAACATGACAGTGAAAGAAGCCAAAGTTGCGCGTCGTACACGAGGAATGGTGAAAAGCTGAATGAACCGAGTGACATAGTTGCTCTTGATCTCGACCAGACTAGCTTCGGCGCGAAGCTGAGCGTGGATGTAGTAGAGATCACGTGCGGCTTGGAGTTCAGTGTTTCGGAGCTTCTTTAACGATCGGTAAGCATTAGCATAGCGGCCCTTCTTAATATACCATCTCGGAGATTCTACGCAAAATTAATTTTGACCATGGATAGATAGGGGTAGGAGCGTACCCGGACAGAAGAAGACACCAAGAAGAAGCGGGAGCGCTGGAAGCAAAGCCGAACCGAATTGCAGACGCCAGGAGATCTTCCCAGTATCCTTCACAGCTAAATTCGCGCACGTGCCAAGGAAGATACCAAAGGCGGTCCACATCTGCCAGCTCATGACCAGAGCGCCTCGGATGCTTGCAGGCGCATTTTCGGCGGAGAAAATGGGGATCGTTGCGCCCTTACATCCCATACCAATGCCGAGCAGTAGACGAGTTACAAAGAGCTGTTCCCAGGCTAAAGTGTGTTAGGATATGCCGCTATATCTGGGGAGCATGCAACTTTGACTCACTCTGGGCAACGGCACTACCAATGGGGCTGAGAGCACAAAATATGGCGGAGACGAAAATGCATCCTCGGCGGCCGAAAAAGTTGTTCAGGGGGTCAGACATCCAGCATCCACTGTAAAATATTAGCGAAGAAAGGTACCAAGATAGGCGCGAGGATGTACAGGAAAGCGGAAGCAATGTAAGGCCCAGCGTTAATAAGACCTTGAAGCCATTGATTCCTCGACGCATCTGGATTCGGGATCTTGTCGGGGCCCAGAGTGTCACTAATAGGAATTCCCAGAGCATCTGGGAACGACAGATTCGCGCCATTCGAGCCAGTTTGATCCCACCCTTGGACGGCTGCGCCAATGGAGCAGAGAATGATTGTGAAGTATAGGAGCTTGGGCTGTCGCCACTTGTGGAGGACTTCGTTGCTAATAGCGACCTTCTCCTCCTCAGTGATACCTTCAACGGAAGCAAAAGCTGGCGGGTCTCTAGCAATCAATGCGCCCTTAATGAGAAGAGGGGAGATTTCCTGGAAGCTGTTCTCTTGGACAAAGCCCTCAACGTCGGCAATCATTTCCTCATGGGTCATATGAGCCAGGGGGTTTTGAATCCTAGAACATGGGTCAGTCGAGTGTTCTCATGTCCCCAAGGTTCTCAAGATCAATTGGACTAAGGAGCGCTTACTTAGACGTGGCATTGTTGTTTATATCGAATTCAACACCCTTCTCCTCGTTCGCGCTATGTCGCGTCAGTGAAAGTCAAGGCTGAGGTTTGATGCGAAGAACAGGGCTTACACATCGCGCTGCTCAGCGAAAGCTTTGCTCTGGTCGGGAGTCTCTTGGCTAGCCATGGTGAAGAGCTTCAGGCTGTTAATCGAAGCTTGATGAGCATTGCGACGCGGCAGGAGCTCGGGAATTTATTCGCGCTCGAGGGTCAGCATAAGCAGTCCCCGCACGCGGCCTGGGATGAGTTCTCTCGTTGGTACAGGCTAGCTTGAGATTCTGTGGAGCACCGTCAGGGCTAGCAGGGGATGCAACATGTCGAGCACTCCGACAGGGAGGGATCACCGGTTGACCATTTGGGACGCCTGAATGCAAGATCGCTAGGATCAGAATCTTGTCTAACAAACAGTGATAGGATCTGCTGTCAATACGCCCGAAACTGTGTGACACAAACTCAAACTCGAATCACAAATGACGAAATATCCTATAACAGGCCCCAAGATTGTCGATGACATGTTGTGGTGATAGAAGAGTGATGTTCCGTGGTGCCGAGCAGGATGGCAGAGCTTATCTGAAGACGGCTAAAGCTTGGGCGGCAAGCGGCTGGGCAACGGGGCTCCACATCACGTGGAACCTGCCAGCCTACCCTCCCCATGGGCGTCTTTTGTTTAGTTCTTGCACTAAACAGGGTGAAAATTACGGAGTCGCCGTTCCTCGAACCACGTTCGTGAGATTTCATCCAGCTTGGGTCGCAAGTGGACCCGAGTCGGCTGATACACGGGCGAAGAGGTGCAAATTTTCTGGTAGCTGGAACCAGCTTGTCCAGCGTCCAACGACAGTTGACGGATACGATGATCTAGAACCAGACTTCCAAGCATCTAAGCACCTTCTACGATGAATATCCCCGAGTCCTCTCGTCTCTTAATGCAGCCGAAGCTCGCACACTGAGTCGTCGTACCGCGGACACAACGTGGTGTTGCAATCTAGGGTGTCACGCTCGCGGCCCGGTGGATGACGAAGTGGCTGCAGACGATGTTGCGATCGGCGGAGTGAAGGCCGAAGATGCATGGATGCTGCAAGTGTGCCAAGCTCGTTTGCCACGTGAGGGGGCGCCTTGATTGCGGGTTCGAGAACATGAGGGATGCCCCGTGGGAGGTGTACAAGTCGGAGACTCGACACAGAGTGCAACGGGAGG